TTTTGTTCATTTAACAAAAAAAAAAAATATTAACATGAACCTTTGAACATGAAGAGACCCTTGTTTCAATTAAAACTCGCTTGTAAATATTGAAGTTTATGAAAACTTGTTTGTACCCCATAAACTTATTAAAAATTTCAGAATTTTCACTCTTTAATCAATGTTGAGTATTCATGGTATATAATTTTTTCAACAGGATTTAAAATATAACAATGAATAAAGACAATTATCCCCGTTTCGTGTACACAATATTTTCCGAAAACAACAGTTAAGAAATATTTGCTTTCTTCTTCTCACATGAAGGTTTCACCAACTACAAAACTGTCTCCAATCAAATTATATTTGCTAACTTTCCATAACCTACAAAACTATCTCGATTAAACTTTTATATAGAAACAAAAAATTCAATATTTCAACTGCTACACACAAACAAAACACTCACTCATGCTCACCTATTAATAACATAAAACTAAAATTAATAAAAGCATTAAATTCTTAACATAATAAAATAAGATAACATGATCAAAATGTGAACACACAGGTGAGACAGTGCCTGTGTTTCTGCTATTATAAATAAAGATATTTATTAGAAAGAAAATAGCAAAGGAAAGGGGAGATGGCATCCTCCTTTACAGAACAGGTAAAGCTGAAAAGAAAAATACAGAAAAGAATCTAAATAAAAAGAGAACACCAAGACCAAAACTCCTCCATATCTATCAAAGAATATCGAAAATGTTTTTTATCATTGCAGGTCAAGAGAATTTCATACTTCTCATTATATCTTTGATTCACCTTATAAAGTCATTGAGAGTGTGCATATAAAATTCAAGCTACATAAGGAATTAGAAAATTGCTTCAAGCATTATTTATTACTCCAAAGTTCCTATCAAAATAAACTCAAAGGAAAACAATCTCAATGTTTTAAAAATTAATCTAATAATTGACCCAATAGAAGAACTAGGGCATGATTCATTGGTCCAACCAGGACTGAATCAATGATAATCAAATAAATATTTTTAATATTATATAATTGTTATTGCAAAATATTGTTCTTTTTTATGCTTTATAAACCCTAATGTTCTCCTTGTATTTATCCTCGGTCTTGGGCCGAGGCATTCTAAAGTATCTGTTTAGAGTAGCTATTTAGGTTTTATATTTGGCGCTTATATGCAACGACTCATTATATGTTCGATTTATTAAGTTAGATATGTAACAGGTCGGGACCTGGTCACTACCCATGGGTCCGGTCATGGGCACTACACAGCCCCCCGCCTTGAGTGTTATACGTTGAAGCTTTATGTAGCTAATTGTTATAAGGTCCCGTCTTTGGTCCCGTTTACACAGGTCGGGGATCTGGACACTACAGTAATATATTAGGTATAAAACAAACAAAACCATAAGATATTAAATTAGACAAAATTATAAATTAGCATAAAAGGAGTATATCATATAAGAAATAACTAATAAGAGGATAACAATAGCAATCCATGAATAGACATTATATGTGTATTTTCATTTGACTAAAAACACTTTAAAATGAAAAATCACACCAAGCTGGTTTTGTCATTGGTTTCAACAGGACATGACTGGTTCAAATGGCTTTTTGACCACCAAATTTATGGATTGTCTAATCAGTGATCTACCCTCTTGCCAGTTTTAGTTTAATCTGGTTTTTAATTATTAAACCAACTTCTAAGACAAATATACTCTATTGTAGTGAATGTTGGGCAACGAAAAGCCAAAAAGAGCAAAATGGAGTGCAATGAACTTGAGGATGTTGAGGAGGACAAAACCCATTTAAGACGGTTTGGTCATATGAGAAGAAAGCTAATGGAGGCCTAGTGAGAATAATTGCTCAAATGAAAGATAGTTCAGGGAACAAAGGAAAACCTACAAAAAAGTAGGAGAATCCACCAAAAAGACCTTGTTCTAAATGGTCTTATTAAGATTTGGTGTTTGATAGAGCCCAATGAAATCATTGATCCATCAAGGCAAACTGATCTAATAGAATAAGGTTTGGTGGTGGCTATTGATATGGTTGTTATTTCATGTTTAAAGGTACTCCAGTAAATGCTCCTAGCCCTATGTTTTTTCGAGACTGAGTATAAATGAAGCAGGAAATGGAGCAGAATGAAACTAAATGGAAATATTAAAATTTCACCTATTATTTCAGAAAATAAATAGGAAAAAAAAATTAGTGAGTTCCATGTATAAAAAGATTTCCCCCTAAAGTGGGAGGAAATTTTAATTGCATTTGATTTTTCTTTTGTTTTGCTTTTTTAAAAAAGTTAATATTATGACATAAAAAATAATGAATAACTTCTTTAGAAAAAACAATATAATAAAAAAGTTCATGATTTTATAGTTCAATTTAATTTTTTTAATTAGAATAAATTATACAATTTATCTATTTAATTTCAACTCTTGCACTTATCTAACCAATCACGGTAATTTCTTCACTTCTTTTCTTTTTATTCCTATTCATCCAAACAACACACTTTTTTTTCTATCATGTGTCTCTTTTACCTTCTATCCTTAGTATTTCTTCCCATCTTATTTTTTCTCTCTATTTTACTTCAAATCCAAACATACATACTTTAACAATAAAAAATTGTTCTTGTGGCCAAAATGGTGTCTGCCAGGCCATTCTCTCCTCGGCTACTATTTGTCACTAGCCTCTTTACCAATTAAAAACAAAAGGTGTTTTTACTCATGGAGAACTCATAGAAAATATTTACATGGAGTACCTATCTGAATTTGTTGTTCTGGAGGGGTCTTAAAGACTATTTTTCAAGCTTTGTAAATTATTGCTATATTGCCTCATACAATCTCCTAGGACATTCTTTGACCGATTTAGCACTATAGTTCACTAGCTTGGTGTGACTCAAAGAGAGGTTGATCACTCAGTTTTCTATAATCACTAAGCTTCAAGAGTGTTTACTTGATTTTGTATGTTGACAACATTGTTATTTCATGTAGTGATCACCAAGGAATCACATAGCTAGAGCAACATATTTTCCATCATTTTCAAACAAGATCTTGTCAGACTTGTGATAAAGGTGGCATTGTTCAAAAATGGCATTGTGACTTGTCAAAGGAAGTACATGATTGATAATTGAGAGGTTAAAAGGGTTGACAAATGCTAAGCCTATAGACACCCCTAAGGATCCTAACATGCCAAGTCAGTTCGTAGGGTGAGTTTATTTCTTAACTACCCTTGTGAAGGGCATTGGGATGCTATAATTCACATTTAAAATAAATATATTAATCAAGCTTTAGGAAAAGGTCTCTTTATGAAGACATAGGTCATACACAAATTGTGAGTGCAAATTGCACAAACTTTCTCCCACAAATAGGAGATCTACTTCTGGGGGGAGATCAAGGTCTAAAATCGAATATGAAGACATGGCTTAAATCATTTGTGAACATGGCTCAAACAATTGTTTAAAGAACTTTAGGTATGCAAATGTTTCACAAATGATGCTTACTAGTAATTGTTATTTCATTGGAGAGGATATGTTATTGGGTGACATTATGACAAACTAGGTAAACTCCAACAATCAATTGAAAAATGCATTCACTAAGTCATTGAGAGGTCCTCAAATTGAATATATATGTAACAAGCTAGGTGCATATGATTTATATGCTCCTGTTGTAAATGGATATGTTAGCATCGTGTAGATATTGGACTTAGGGTCCCAAGCTCACTTATGTACTTTATATATATCATCCTTTCACCCTTTTGTTAGTAGTGAAATAATATCATTTCTCACTCTTCTAACAGTTCCAATCCAACTAAGAATAACTTTTATCATATTGTGTACTCAAACAAAAAGGTATACTTATACCACACCTTTGACATGCATTGATGAGAAACTGGAAATAGAATAAGAGAATCAAATAACTATTATTAAATGACAACAAAGAAATGGTGAGAACTCTCTACCAGGGTTTTGTTAGGAACCAAGAATGGCAAAGAGAAAAAAAAAAATATATATATATATATATATATATATATATATATATATATATATATATATTATTGAGTAGGATGAAAATCAAATAACAAAACATAAGACAGCAATCTCTCCTTTGACGGTTTCCCCTTCACAAAAGATTTCTCTTTTTACAAAAGAGTCAATGCTCAATTTATAATGAGATATTAAATGGTTTATTATATCATGTTCCACAGCCCCGAGATATTAAATGGTTTATTATTATATTAAATTGGGAAAATGGTAGAATGGAAGGAGATGAAATAATTTGTTGTACCAAAGGTATTAAATGGTTTACTATATCATGTTTCATTCTCTTACCTTCCATTGATTCCATCCATCCATCCAAATAACATTTCAAGTTCACAAGTATTGATTATCGAACACTCACTCTTATTTTTGCTTCCCCCTCCTTTTCAAGTGCTATCAAGCTATTATTGGTCACTTATTACAGACCATCTTTGGAATCAATTCCATAAGGAAAATTATTCAACGCTCTTAAACTCAATTAGTTACATTATTTAATAAACACTTTTGAGCTGTCAACAGAGGATGATACCTAGTTGACCATCCATGACAACTGCATAACTTGAGTTTGAATAAAGGGATTCTTGGTGACTTGAAATCAAACTATAAATATTGGTTATTGGTCCTAGCCTTTGGGCTCCCCTGATCCAAAGTTTTTTGTTCTAGTGCCAAAAATGCTCTCTTGCTCATAACAAACCTTAAAATTCACAAATTTAATTGATTCTGGATCTTTTGGAGCGCAATTTAAATCAATGAAATCCAATTCAATTTTTTGCTATACAATAACAAGAAGTTCATGCTAAGCTCGCGCATGTCATTCTAAAGAAGTCCATTTCTGATAACAATGCCACTTAGTACACAAAAACAAAAATAAAAGGAAATATTTATGTTAGACTCTAAATTGCAAACTATAAGAGTGACTGCCTTATGTTGGCAGAAATTGAAACATAATGTGCAAAGGCTAATAAAATAGTGTCGTTAGGGATTGAAAATTGTAGCGGAAGACGCAGCAGCACTAAGAACCAAGGTTCCTAATCGCAGAGCAATCACGGAAAGACGAACAAAGAAAAAGACAACACTAGAGATCAAAGTAAACTAAATCGATAAACAAGTAACCTCAATACAAACGCATTTACTCGAAGGAGAATGAACGCGAACGAAGCATTTACAAGCACGAACCTGGAATGAGCAGCTAAACGGACGGAGATTGAGCACGCGGAAGAGTGGAGGAGGAAGCTCTGCGATGAAAAAAAGGAGAATTGATTTAGCAATTTAACGACTAGCAAATCAAAAGAAAGTTAAACATATTGCTAAAATTGGCACACGCTTAGAGTGAAATTGCTTGAGCATTACACCAAGCGAGTAAAGAGGAGAGATTCGCTAGAGAGAACCTGGAGATAGAACAGCGGCAGAGAAGGGAGGAGGCGACGGTGGTCGGAGAGGGCTAATAATGAAATTTAAGTAGAAAAGGTGAAAAATTGAAAATAAAAGTTAGAAGAAGCGTTGACTAATGTTGATGCAGTGGCAGTGGGAATGCGAAGGCGTGGAGGAGGACGTGGATTGCTTGGGAGGGGAAAGGATGAGTGAGTTGAGCCTAAGTGATAACAGCCTTTGTTCGATTTCTGCGTCGTGTTCGCAAATTGCAGTTTCATTACTGTGAGCCCGCTAACCAGCCCAGTTGAAAGCCCCAAATATGGCAATGTGCATTGCATTTGTTTGTCGTATTTACGCCGCTGAATAAAACTATTGCTAGGTTTTTAGGGGAAAAAAAATAATAATATAAGGTTAATTAATCATAAAAGAGAAGAGTGTTGTTACATAAATACTAACAATACCTAATAACAATACCTATAAAATATATATAGTATAACTTATGATATATTATTATGTTGTTTAATCTATATTTATATTATTAATTTACACTATTATTAAAAGGGAATGGGTTATGTAACATTTTTTTTGTATTTTTTATATAAGTTGTATTTTATCTTTAATATCTTGATAATTGTATTTTAAAGAATTAAACTATAATTATTTTTCATAATTAAAATTTTATTTTTAATATTCTAATAATTAATTTTATAACTTAAAAAAAAAAGTTGGACACTATCGCATTAATAAAAAGGAAACTCAATAGGAAACAAAACAAAATGTATTTTAGGGGAGTTTGATTGTTTATTTATATGAATAAATTAAATTGATTGATAATTTATAATTTAAAAAATATTTTATTATTTATTAATTTTATAAGCTAATTTAGTCTATAATTAAAGAACATATATTTTTCTATTAGTATACATTATATGAAAATTTTAAACAGTTTAATCAATGATAATTAATATTAACATAATAAAAAAAATCATTTTTTTAAGTCAAACTTGAATAAAAGAAAACTTGTGTCAGGCATACCATATGTTTTTTTCTTTCGGAATAATGTGTAATGTTAAATTTCATGAATTTAATAGTTGGTTTAATAATTATTAAAATACATAATATATATATATATATATATATATATATTATAATTATATAATGTAAGTATTAAGTTGTTATTGAATTAGAATAAATTACCAGGGGTTTTTTCATTATGAGTTGCATGTCTTATCTTTGTTTTACTATTGAGAATTTAATTTTAGTTTAAAATTTTTATAATATACTACTGCATTTCTCCATTTGTCTCAAATAATTTTCTTGTTATCCTTACTTTATACCTAATTTACTTAAAGCTCATATTTTTTAAAAATTTTCTTTTAAGAATAAACTTACAGATATTTTTATAGCTCAATAAGACATTTTTAGTTTAAAATACTGGAAATGTAGTTACGATAAATATTTTTTTAAAAATAATAATAGTCTTATCTAACTTGAGTAAATTTGTTTTCAGTTAAAAAGATTTTGTATAAAAACGACAATTTAATATTAAAAATAATAATAAAAACAAAAATCAATTTTTTTTTTGGAGAATGTAAATATGTGTAACAAAATTCAAGCATCTTATATTATAATGTTACCAAAATAAACATATAACAAATGTAATATATATATATATATATATATATATATATATATATATATATATATATATATATATATATATATCACTCAGAGATAATTACAATTATCTTATCATGTATATATAATAAATGTTAATTATATTGATATTTTCTCTTTAAAAAATCTCAATATTCATTTATAACTAGATTCTTACATAACATAGATTATTATAGACTAAATTAAAGATTTGTTTTTCATAGTTAATTCCATTTGTTGATAACACGATATATATATTAATTATTTAATTCATTTTTATACTTTAAAAATATATATTTTTAACTTAAACTTACAAAATATTTATTTATTTTTTCCTGTAAGTATTATAAACATGTGGTTAAGACGATTTTGGCGGTAGTGAAAATATGATTACATGTTTGACATTTTTATTTTAAAACTCCCATAACTTAATATGTATAAGAAATAATAAAAAATAAATAATAAAAAAGAGATATGAATAAAAAAATTACAATACAAGAAAAAATAATAATTATTTTTATGGTTTTCAATGTTATTAATGTAATATTAAGAATATATATATATATATATATATATATATATATATGATTTTTTTCTGAAAAAAAGGAAAAATTATTATTGTTATGGAATTCAATGTTATTGATGTATTATTAAGAAATATATATATATATATATATATATATGTGATTTTTTTTTCTGAAAAAAGGAGAAAAATATTATTAGGAACAGAGAAAATAAGAAATGATAATATTAAACATACGTAAAAACTGTACATAACTTATTTATCTAAAACTTTAAAAATATCAGTGTAACCCAACAACTATTCCCATAATAAAAAGATCAGATATAAATATGTCATTAATGTATTAACTAAATACAATATGCAATTACAAATAATATTATAATAAAATTTTGTTTTATCAAATAAATTATATTTATTAAATTTAATAAATACAATACATATTAATTGAATGCATGACTTCAAATTAATATCTCTGAATATTAAATTATACATTAAATTAAAACAGACATATTTTTCCCACATTAATTAAAATATATACTACACAAAAAAACGTTATTATTATTATTATTATTATTATTATATATATATATATATATATATATATATATATGGATAAATTATCTGGTTAATCTTTCAAATAGCTTATCAATAATTATATTTGTTAATATTTTGTTGACTATATTCTAGGAGTTTATAATTATTTTTGAATAATTATCGGTGTACAATGATTACACTGAATTTATAAAGAGGGCACTCACATCTTTTATTTTATTTTTAAGTTTTTTACTTTTTATACTCCTGTGAATGTCTATCTAAAATATGAAAAAGATTAAATGTCTATTTTATTAAAATATAAAAAGAGATATAAATATAATTTAAACTTTAATATATTTTTATAGAGACATAAATATAATTTAAACTTGAACATTAAATGTCTATTTTATTAAAATATAAAAAGAGATATAAATATAAATTTAACTTGAATATATTTTTACAGATACATAAATAGAATTTAAACTTGAATATATTTTTATTATTCTGTTTTGTGTGTAAATTACTTATAATCTTTATATTTTAAAAGTTAATAAATCATCGTTAGATTTAAAAAAAATGTCTTTAGTGAATTTTATAATAATAAAAACGTTATTAAATATTAATATTTAGTATGAAAATGATTAAATTATAGTTAAATATTAAATTTAAATATAAAAAATTTTAATAATTTTTTTAGAAGATAGAAAATCAAATTAATCCATTTAAGATATAAAAATTATTAACAAATTTCTTAAAAAAAAACTAAAAATATATATTTCCTTACAATTTAAAATGATAAGATTTAAACCTAAGTAAGTTAATTTTTCCCTCTTAGTTATGTAATAATAAATATTAATCATATTTGAAAAAAATTATTGATAATCTTTAATTATCCATAATTGAACCGTTTAAATGAAGAAAATGATTTGAATTACCACCTACCTTCATTAATTTTGATGAGATTAAGACAAGGACCAATGGCTACGTGAACTGTCAGTAAAACCTCCCCTCCTTTTCTGTTACACGTACCTTTATATATATACCTGCGGTGTTTTCACGCATCATCTCATATCATATACATCATCGTCAAATATACAAACTACAGTATCTCTTTCTCTCTGTTGTTTTCTGGGTCCACTGAAAAGGGAAAGAAGAATATGGAGATTGATCTTTCTCCCCAGTTTGCGAAGACAGTTCATGGAGCCAATGGTGGGTCCTACCACACCTGGTCCCCCTCTCAGCTTCCCATGCTTCGCGAAGGCAACATTGGTGCAGCCAAACTCTCTCTGCGCAAAAACGGTTTCGCCCTTCCTCGTTACTCTGACTCTTCCAAGGTCGCTTATGTTCTTCAAGGTATGTTAGTTCTTCCTCTATTATTACTCCTTTCAATATGGTCCTTACAAAAACAATCATTGTTCACAATCGCTTGTGTTTTTTAATACTGTGTTTATACGTCTGATCGGAAGTTTCGATCGTGAGTTTCTTGCTTTCAGTATTTCTGTGCTGAATCTTTTAATGAATAATTCTTTCCTGATGCATCGGTATGTGAGGGTAGTTTGTCTGATATGGAATCGTATATTGATTTAATAGCTTGATCTGAGGTTTTATGTTTAAAAATTGGGATCCTTAACATTTTGTTTTGGAAATTAAGGATTTAAATAGAACACACTTTTTGACATTGTAATACCAAAATAAATTGTAATACTTGTTTTGAAGTCATATCTACGTTGACCCATGCATTAGGATTAAAATACTTATTTTAAGGGTGTGTTTGGTTTTTATTTTATAATTTTTTTAAGTTTTTAAATGTAACCAAAGAAGGTTGCTCAGGTAGCCAATGAAAGAGATTGAAAAGGATGAGAACGGACGAGGACGAGAAAACATTTGTCAAAACTTAATGAAACTTAGATGAGAAAGTAATTGATGAGTAATGTGGAGTTGATTTAGTGAAGTTTTTTTTTTTTTAAATAGAACCATTAGAAATGTTTTTAAAACCATGAATGAGACGAGAAGGCAATCAAACAGGTCCTAAGTGATTCTGTGTTTCAGATTATGAATTTATGTTATTGTATCGATTATTTGTGAATTTGTGTTTTCATTCCATAGGAAGTGGAGTGGCTGGAATAGTGCTGCCTGAATCAGAAGAGAAGGTCGTTCCAATCAACAAGGGTGATGCGCTGGCACTCCCCTTTGGTGTTGTGACATGGTGGTATAACAGGGAAGAAACTGAGTTGGTTGTTCTGTTCCTTGGGGACACTTCCAAGGCTCATAAGGCTGGTGAATTCACTGACTTTTTTCTGACTGGTTCCAATGGAATCTTCACGGGGTTTTCCACTGAGTTTGTGAGCAGGGCTTGGGACATGGAAGAGAGTGATGTCAAAACCCTTGTTGGAAAACAACCAGGCACAGGGATTGTGCAGTTGGAAGCAAACATCACACTTCCTGAGCCTAAACCAGAGCACCGGAATGGCATGGCCTTGAACTGTGAAGAGGCTCCATTGGATGTTGACATCAAGGGTGGTGGAAGGGTTGTGGTATTGAACACCAAGAATCTTCCCTTGGTTGGTGATGTTGGACTAGGGGCTGACCTTGTGAGGTTGGATGGAGGAGCAATGTGCTCTCCAGGATTCTCTTGTGATTCTGCTTTGCAGGTTACTTATATTGTCAGGGGTAGTGGCCGGGTTCAGGTTGTTGGTGTTGATGGTCGTAGGGTTTTGGAGACAACCGTAAAAGCTGGTAATTTGTTCATTGTGCCAAGGTTTTTTGTGGTCTCAAAGATTGCTGATCCAGAGGGAATGGACTGGTTCTCTATTATCACCACCCCTAAGTAAGTCTTCTTATGTTAACTCTTCACCTTATGATAGTCGATTCATCTTATTTGTTTTTGTTATTGGTTTACATTGCACTCTAGAAAAAACATCCATTTGATATTCTGTTTGTTGCTTGAATGGATTGGATATTGGTCCTAACCATGTAGGAATCTTAACTTTTTTCTATTCTTAATAGTTTCTTTCTAACCACTGATTGACACATAGAACCCATCATGAATCATACATGAAAATTGTTGATCCAAGGAATCTTTATTTGGTTGGAAAATGAAAACTCCATTAGTGAACAACTATTCTGTATTATTTGATGGCAGCCCATAAATTTAACATGCAATGATTCTTTTTCTAACCTTATGATTTTCACTCTGGCAGTCCTATATTTACCCACTTGGCTGGAAGTTCTTCTGTGTGGAAGGCTTTATCACCATCTGTTCTGCAAGCTGCTTTCAATGTAGATTCAGAAGTGGAGCAACTGTTCCGTTCAAAGAGGACTTCCGATGCCATTTTCTTCCCTCCGCCAAGTTAGAATAAACATTCCACCAACGCATCATGATCGTTTGATTGTAAAGATTCCCCATCCCTTGTCTAAACGGAAAATAAAAGGGATACGTGTCGAGGAATTACTGAATCAGTGGAATTACTTTACTGTTTAGAAGAATTTTCTTTATTTTTCTCCGGTTAGGAATTTCATATTACAACCTCATCCAATTTCTTTTTAATAAATTCCTATCCTTTTAAATTATCCTGATTCTGAAGATATAGATGCTTTTAATAAAAAAAAATTAGTCAATCTGTTTTAATCTCACTCGAACATCCTCTGTTGTTGGATTTATGCATAGATCCCTCAGCAATTCGCTGATGTTGTGAAAAAATTTGCAACGTGATGGATATATATGATAAGATAAAACATAACAGATAAGAAGGTAGTTTACTACGAAATCTAATATATATTACATACATGATAGTAAACGATAAAGATGATGAAATGTTTGTTCTAACTTTTTATTTTAAATTAGAAGAGCGTCTTATTAATGTAATAAGTGGACATCTTTATTAAGGTTTATAAAATGTATATATATATGAACTCAGTGTAACTCTAATTTATAAGATAAATATTTCTTCATGAGAATTTTAGAGAGATTATTTAGAGAATAAACATTCGGTTAGTTAGGTTACATAAGTGTTTGATTGGTCTTTTGCTTGTTTTGTTATTGGTGATATATTTGCTTGTATTTTTTATAATCGCAAATCCTTCTCCGTAATAACCTTTACGTCTATGTTGTTTTGTTATACCTAGTAAGCCAAATTTTCAGATTGAATGAGTTATTATCAGGTTCGAGCAGTCTTTTATATTAAAATCATAATTTTGGTGACAGATACACCTTTTAGTTCTATCTGAATTGGATGTTATGAAGGTTTGTTGAGGGAATGTCGCTAGTTTTAGGTTGTATGTTTATCATAAAATGACCTTGTTGGAGGTGTTTAACTAAGTGCAGTTTTCATACTTCACTCACCTTATGCACTTATTAACTAAATTTTTTTATCACGTGATTCTGAATAATAAGTTGTCCTCAGATCTTTAACATTGATTTTGGGAGAGCCTAATAATATATTATTAATAAATAAATAAAAAATATAAAAGAAATAAAGAAAATAAAATGGTAAAAGGATAAAATTGTAAATATATACTTAAATATATTAAATAATCATTAAGTTTGAGGGGATAAAATCATAAATTATATGAGAGTTACAAAGCTGAAGAAAGACTAAGAAGATAAAATTGTAAGTATATAAATAAATATATTAAATTTTCATTAAGTTTGGAAATTAAAATTATAAATTACATGAGAGCTTACAAAACTTTGAGGAGCTCATAGCTCCATCGACTTCTAAGAAGATCGGCCATTGCAAGGTCTTCAGTTCTTGTTAGTAGTACTTTCAATCTTTATTGACTTTTTCTCAAGTTGTCGCGAGAGTAGCACACATCTCCGAGTTTGTTTGCTGTTGAATTTCTTATACGTATCTCTTGAAGTTGTCGATAATCATGATTAGTTCCATTTGTGGAAGAACAAAGTTTGATTATTTCGTATACACAATAGATAATAGTATGGGAAAAAAATTTATTTTATCTCACCATGATACTATGTTGTTACCTAAATTTAGAAGATTGATTGAGTTGAGTTCTATGATGTATTTTTGAGGTGTTCTTAGACGTGTTGAAAATGTGGGGAAAACACTTACAAAACTTCTTAAAATGAATAATAAATTTTATGAAAGAATAAATATCTAATAAAAAAACATTATACTTTTATTCTTATTTGATCATTTGACTATAATTATATATTGAGAAAAATTTTATTCTTATCTTATCATATTTGTGTTTATCATGTTAAATGACACTGAATGTCTTAAATATCTTGATCAATTGTCTTCTTGATTAATATTAGATACAATTTTTAATATATTTATAATAACATTTTTTATATTTATAAAAATATTTGTAATTTTTAAATTGTGTTTTTTCATCTATTCTTCAAATTCATTAAATTCAACTTTAATAATAATTTTCTTTTTAATTTTGTTCTAACCTCTCTTTTTTTATTCATGTTTTTTTAGAGACTATTCAATATATATCTCTTATTTTTAATTTCTCTTCCTATCTTCAAAGTATTACTTTAGAAAAAAAAATTACAATATTTTTTTAGTGAACATTCATCCAACAATTTTATTTAATAATATAATATTAATTTTAAATTATTTTTATTCTTATAAAATCTTTTTATGATTATTATATGAATTAATTGTGTTGTACAAATTTTTATTTTTTTCATGAGATTGTCCATACATCACCTTTTTATTTATCTGGTTTCTGTTTGTGATTTATGTGGTATCGTCTTTAGTAAATAAAAGTTTTTATAATTATTGCAATTTTCCTCATGCCTGATGCATGAGTTTAACAAAATGTCTGAGCCCGGGTTCGAACTGGGACCTCTAGTGTGTGAGACTAGCGTGATAACCAACTACACCACCCAGACTTCGCTGATGCATGTACTTTTAAATAAATAGAATTTATTTATTTTTTGATAGGTAACACAATAAAAGAGAATGGATGATTTTTTTCCGCCAAAGCATATTAAATTTAGAATAATCATATTTTGATAACCATTATACAACTTTTCAAATAACTTATTTTTATTAATATAATAATTTATAAAATAATTTAATAAAGATAAAAATAAAATAAAATTATTATTATAATATTAAAAAGAGTTATTCATAGAAATTTTATGAATTTAAATTGTTAAAGTATCATTTTCTTAATTTTATATTATCTTAAAAAAAAAACACACACACACACATGTTTCTACGTGTTTAAAAAGTTCACTTATAATTCTTAAATTAATACTTTTAGCGTACTCGTTAACATTCATCTTCTTACATTATTGCTGATTATACATTTACGTGGTTCATTTTTTAAAAATTAATTTCATTGTATTACTTGTATTTTTTTTCTCATATTTTTTTCTACTTATACACCTAATATTTGGCGTGTACATTCAACATTTTTCTTCTCATCCAACGAATAAAATTATCCAGTCATATAAATAATTAAAATAAAAATTTAAATGTAAATAAAATCACTAAAATTAAATATAATAAAATAATTTTTTTACACGTTAACTAATAGAAGATTTGAGTAGTATATAAAAGGGTTTTAGTTTAAATTTAATTATTGTATATCATAAAACAATCCAGTAACACTATCAACATATTTAAATGATTTTTTTCATAAACATTTATAAAAAGATCAATTTGTTTTTATGGTAGAATAAGTTCATGGCTAAGTATTGAATGGCAATATTGTTTACTTCAAATTTTAAAAACTATGGGAGTCATGTTAGAAATCAAGGGGTGTGGAATAATAAAATGAAATGGACTGTTCGCTGAGTAGAAGGCGTTGTGCTTGAGGCCCAGATCCACTGATGGTTAACATGGTTACGTTGGATTAGGGTTTTAGTAAAAGAAAGAAGCAGAACAACGAAGCAGGTAGGGTTTCTTTCTCTTTGATCCTCTTCGCAGCGCCACACAACCTTCGCATTCGCAATGGGTACGATTCAAACTGTCTCTCTGTACATTTCTACGATGCAATTTCGTTTGATACCGTTATGATTTGGTCATTTATGTATTTTTTTTTCCACCATTTTTTTTTTTGAAATGCAAAAGCGAGAATCAAGGTGTATGAGTTGAGGAACAAAACTAAAGCAGAACTTCTGAACCAGTTGAAGGATCTCAAAGCAGAACTCGCTCTCCTCCGCGTCGCTAAGGTCACAGGCGGAGCCCCAAACAAGCTTTCCAAAATGTGCATTTCCTCTCTCTTAGATGTCAATCCCTTGTTCCTACTTTAATTTAAATTATTGCGAATTTGAATGCATTTGTTATGTGGATGCAGCAAAGTGGTTCGGCTTTCCATTGCGCAGGTGCTGACGGTGATTTCCCAGAAGCAAAAAGCAGCGTTGAGGGAGGCTTACAAGAAGAAGAAGTACCTTCCTTTGGATCTGCGTCCCAAAAAGACCAGGGCTATCAGAAGGCGCTTAACAAAACATCAGGTACCATTTATGACTCATTCTTTCAACCTTTTTTCTTATTTTTTTCTGCTCTACTTTGTTTTGGATAAACCCTTTAAAAGTTTATCAAATTGGCCTCTCAAGGTTAGTAAAATATACCTGATAAATATTCAATCTCCAGGATAAATTTATATAATTTTATTACTCGAAGAACTATATAGGGGAGAGTAATATCTCAGGAACTTAATTGATAGCTATCTGTTATGCTTGGTAAGGTTGATGAATGAAATACAAAGCGATAATGTGTCTTGATGGGATTTGATTGTGTAATGTCTCCAAATTGCTGGTTGTGTCTTAATTAGTACAGAAACAAGTACCTAGTTGATAAACATTGATTAAAGAAAATCGCAGGATATGAAATTGTTATATGGTTCATGATTTAAAAATTCAATCCCTCCTATTACTTTGGCTTTTTCCTAATGGTTTGTGTTGTCTCTGTGTTGAGCTAAAATGCGTATGATTTGAAAGTCATTAGGTGATAGATTTGAACCTCCATGAATATCAAATTGAAATGTGTTGGATTACATCTTGTCTTGCCTTCAACGGACTATGAAAAATGTGTTTTTATTATCTGGATTGATGGTTGGATGAAGTTTAACTGTTGCATTAAGCTGTTCATTTTATCTTGATGATTGTGGATTGAAGAATTATTGTTCAGGTGCTATCTATGTATGATTTTTCTGATAATCATGCACTACAACACTCACATATTTATACCAGAGCAGATAGATATTACACAAGATTATGTTAGCTATATGGCAATCTATGATTTGGTTTGATGACCCATGATGGGGACCTTTCGATGTATAATAAATTAGATTATGACTGTTCCCCGTTTGATTTTATCTTCCAAGATTTGCATCCATCTGCAGCTCTGCTACATACAATAATCTAGTCTTTAGAAAATCTTTATTTGTAGGTGTGATGGTTGTGACATTTCCTATATCATTTAGGAGCAAATTTTATTTTAGTTTTTGTCATATATAATATTTCAATTACCATTGTAATCACGCAACCATGGAACTTGATTGGAAGTTTAACTACAATGAGGACTATAACTTGTCCACATGGGAGCAATGTATTAGACAACTAAGGAACTTGATTGAAAGTTTCACTGGAATCAGGATATATTTTATCCACAGGGTAGCAGTATACAGGACAATACCCTGTCCTCAGTCACTTAACGTAAAACTTATTTGATGTTTCACGGTTGTGCTGATTCATGTAATGTTTGTGGCTAGTTTGATGTAAAGGGGAACGTGCTATTTAAATTCCTTGTGTTTATTTGGGGCACTCGGTATAGTTTGTTTAATATTCCCTGTGACGTTTGCTGTGTATTGTTTTCCTATTTCTAGTTTGCTGAATTGAGATGGAAATTTCTGACCATATAGGGTTCTGATTAGGGTATCTGAATGAATTTGCCGTGTTTCTTGTAGGCTTCATTGAAGACAGAGCGTGAGAAGAAGAAGGAATTGTATTTTCCAATGAGAAAGTATGCAATTAAGGTGTAATGTTAAATCCTAGTACGGATAGTAATTTTGTGAACTTTCTTTTGTTGGTAGTACAATTTATTTTTTTATGGTCGTTCAGCTGATATGCCATTTCTTCACTTTTTCATTTTAATCATTATGAAAATGAACTAAAAGTTAGCTTGTATGTTTACTCTGGGTTGTGGGTTTTTGTCATATATGGAAAGCTTTCAATTTTTTTGTATGCACTAAGGTAATCTGTATTCCACTTCTACACGTTTTTTCACCATTTAATAAAATTCGTAGAACAGTTGATAAATAAAGTTGTATTGAAGGCTCAGTCGGTTTTTTCATCATGCCAATGTGGCCTATAATAGCGTACACAAAATCTGTTTGATTGTAATCCCGTTCAACCTAACTTGTTCATTGAACAATCATGCCAAGTGGCTTTAGTAGGATGATATACTAATTAACAGATATGTAACTGGAGGGACATGTTAGCTGCGATTTCCAGCTTTGAAATCATCTCTTCCTAAATTTTCAGATTTCAATTTCTTTCTACACATCCACCAGCTTTCTATACAAATTATATATTTTATTTTACTTCCTGTATGGTGTAAAATAATCAGTTCAAATTTTATAAGCTTAATGTTTTTTATTATTATTTTTTTAAAATAGAAGGTGTATTATATATGTATATGTATGGTATAATAAAATTGTAAATTTGAAATTTTAATTATACATATAAATTTTTAGAATATTTCTTTCTTAATTGTTTTATCAAACAATTTAAAAAAAAGTAAATGATGAAAAAAATTATATTTAAATAACATCAATTATAAGTTGTTTAAATATAATATATAACAATAAAATTTTATTTTATATTGATATTATTCCTATAAATGTCTTTACCAAATACTAAATTTAATTTAAATACTTTTATTATTTGATAATATACTTCAATATTTATTAATTCTTTCAATTTTTTTCCCTTTTCAGATTTGAACATATTTAACTAGTTTTTTTCAAATGTTTCTGTTTGATCTTGCTTTGGTGCATAATAAAATGAAACGAAATTTCCTTTTAAAGAATTTAGAATAATTTTTTTCTATTTTGTTAGAAAAATGATCTCCAGTGATGAAAACAAGCTATTTTGAGTTATGAAGAATCTTACGAATAATATATATATATATATATATATATATATATATATATATATTTTTTTTTTTTTAAATACCCAAATAAAATCTTTATCAATTTATTTATCTAAATATTTTATTTGTATTTTTTTTTCTCGTACAATTTTTTTTGTCTCCTCTCATTGTCCTTATTTTTTTTCTCTGGTTTTTCTCCTCCTCTTCCATTTATTTTTCTAATTAAACTATTATATTAAAATTTAATAAAAAAAATGTTAAATTAAATATTCTAAAATCAACCATGAAACTAAAACAATATTAACTAATTATTTAAAAATATGATGACAATAAATATTTTATTTATTTTGGCAAAAAATAATTAACTTAAAATTATTTTATCATAATAAAAAATTATTCATCTAATTAAAAAAAATATTTATAAGTTAAATGTATTTTTTATTTAATAATTTTATCTAGTTGTTATTAGATTGAGTTATGATAATTAGTTAGATTAGGCAATTTAAACAAAAATCTAAAAAAATTACTTCAAAATAAATAATTAATTTTTTTATTAATTATAACATAATAATAATACTTGTAACATTTCAAATTTATCATATAATATTTTTTAAATGTTAATATATTAAATTATAATATTTTTAGGTCGTTTAAATATTTTTATTTTTCAGTAATTATAAAAACTCACTTTATCAAAATTTAATATATTATTTTAATTGAAGAATAAGATGGAGTGATAAAAGAGAAAATAAAGAAAAACAAATATACAAAAATAATAATAATAAAAAATAAATGAAAAGAGGGAAAAATAAGAAAATAAATTAAGAAATGAAAGAAAATAACTATATTATATTATACAAATTTATTTTTTCTGGTTGAATTTTGTGTGTAAATAATAAATAGGTCTAATTGAATGATTAAACTTAAAAAAATATTTTAATATTTTTTTAAATATATTATTTATAGGATTATTCTTAATATAACATAATATTCTCACGCCAAGTCAACGCTGTTAATGTGGCACAGCAATTAAAGCTTGGATGTAAAACGTCAACTAGTAAGGAAAATGTAATGTAGATAAGTTATTTGCAACAACAAAATTAGCTTATTTGCTTTTCTATTATTATTATTATCATCATCATTATCATTATTAATAATATTATTATTATTACATTGATTTCATACAAGTTGTGTTAACAGTCCAAATTAACAAACTTGACTGCTTATATTAAAGGATGGTGGTAACATTAATTAGATTGATAGCCGCCAAACATAATCCAATTGTCTTGAGAGGGCTTTTAACAAACTTTATTTAAGCAGAATAAGAATTAACCTTGCAAGCACATTTGACTAACATTAAAAGAAGCTAAATTTTGTATCCGTTAAAAAAATATAATAAAATTTACCGAAATTTTATTATTTTCAGTATATGTATGTTAATCACTTCACTTCAATTTTATTTAATTAAAATGATGGTTTTTAAAAATCAAAATATTCGAAAATAATTTTTCAAACGGCGAGTAAACATAAAACACGCTTAAAACCTTCCATTTAAATCAAACGGCGCGTTTAATTAATTCAATTTTCATTAACTTAATTTAGAGATTCACAAAGTTTTTTTTTTTAAGAAAAGAAAAAGTTAATCGTTCAATTTCATAAATTTTAGTTTTATTATTATTTTTTAATAGATTTTAATTTGATAAATTATACAATAATAGATGAAAGAAAAAATAAATCAAATTTTAATTTCATATTTCATATTATTATTTATTTTTATATATTCATAAGTTTCATATTGCTTCATAAGTCAAAAGTAGTTTATATAAAAGTTTCTCTCTTAATTCACCGAGATGTCTTTTTAAGACAAAAATCGTGATGGATAAGAACTTTAAAGTGGATAATACCTCATGTTATTATTTGTTTCGATATGTTCATGAGTTTCACATCGTTTAGGAGTTGAGGTTAATGATAATTTATATACACTCTTTTTTATTAACCTACCGAAATATCTTTTAAGATTTATGAGAACTTTAAAACGGACAATACTTCAACCAAGGTATCCTTAAAGTTGATGAGAACTTCAAAACGAACAATACCTTAAACATAAAAGTATAATATTATCACAATGGATACGAGAAGGAGACATCATCTTATTTCTATACAGAACATCAAGAACCGTAATGAAAGATAAAGTATAATATTATCACAATAAATATGAAAATGAAACATCTTATTTCTATACAAAACATTAAAAATCGTAAAGAAAAATAAAGTATAATATTATCACAATGGATAGTGGAGACATCTTATTTCTATAAAGAATATTAACAATTGACTGTAACACAATATATATGTTTAAAAATAAATTAAATTTAAGAGAAAGTAATTGAAATATCATCCATACATGATATTAAAAATACTAATAGTTATTATTAGGAAGAAATTTTATAAAAAAATTAAATTAAAATATTTATTAAAAAAGGTTGTTTCCTAATAAATGTGAATAAAGTTCCTAAATTTATTTATAATGAGGAATGATAATTTGATTAAACATGACAAAATATATTGTTCAAAGATGAATATATTTTTTACAGTTTTTAAAATTAAAACCTAAACAATATTATTTCATTAAGAATAAAACGATTTGTAATTTAGCCAGGTGCAAAATAACAAAGGATGTCAAAAATAATGTTGTGTGTGATAAAAACTCTAGTGGCAATTTATGTGACTGGAATTTTTTTAGTGATAAATATTTTTTTAATATTGATTACTAATTGAATTATGAAAGTTGAAAACTAAAATAATATGCATTTTTTTGACTACGAACATTTGGTTATTAATTTGGTATCAATAATCTCATATCACTATTGAAGACCATATAATACCTAATTGTGAGGTAAAATACAATCCCCATTTTTCTAAAAAAATAAAACACAATTACATTAGTCAAAGGGAATACTTTTACCACATTCAAAACATTGACTTTTCCTTTTTTTCAACTAAAGTATTACAACAATAGTTATTTTGATAAATGAGATTTGATCGAGTATATTTTTAGTTTAATAGAAAATACATAAAAATTACTATATATTATTAGTATATTGAATATTTAATATATGAGAAATAAAAATTAATTTATATTGAAATACAATATTATGAACCATAATAATATCATGAAATAGACATATATAAAAATATATTTATATTTACAGATGATTAATATAAATAATAGAGATAAAAGAAATCAAAATATTTATATGAAATATTATATTATAAATAATGATAAAAAATTATATTATGAGTGCACTTCATATTGTTTAATAGCAAGTATTATTCCATAAAATTGTGATAAAGAAATACAAAAAAATAATCTTAAATGTATATATAATTAAAGGAGATTTTTTTTGCGACAAAAAAGGATGGCAGCTCAACATTTTTAATCATGTTTAACGGCTGATCTATATTCCGTGGTTATTAAAAATTTAATATAAGTTAGAGACTGAAACATTTTGTGTCGCTTAATATAACATAATTTTTGGTTGCAAATCTGTAAGAAAAAAAGTATTGTTTTGGTGTACAGTTGCTAAAGAGAACTTGTCAGGTCGTTATTTCACACAAATGAAAATAAGTAGACTAAAATTTTTTCCATCACTAATCAATAGCTATGTTTGTTACCAATTCGACTGAGTGATAAATTGCGAAACACTCTGGTTAATATTTCTGTCTCCATATCGAAACTATTCAATTGTTGTCGCCAATTATGACTGAAAAAACTCAGTCACTATTTCCGTAATTACAACTTAATTTTTATAATTATTAGTTTTGGTCACTAAATATTTTCTTTAGTAAATTTCGAAGAGGTAAACAAATAATTTTCTTACACAAAAAACCAATACAGAATGAAGAGAAAAGGGTAAGATGGTTGGAAACAAATTGAATCTAAAGTTTTGTACAAGTATCACTACTAGAAATAACTTTTTTACCACGTTTAAAAATGATTATAATAATAAATTTAATAGTTAAAAATTAATAAATTAATAACCAGAATCATCGTTATTATTCATACGAACATAATTATATTTATAATCATAATCATATGTTAAAAACTTTATTTTACTACAAATAAATAAACAATACAATAAACTTATAAGTTTTGCTACGACAAATTTATTCTCTTGTTATTGTTCCTCTATAACGGAAAACATTTTCTCTACCTCCGCCTCAGTAAAATATTGTTCTCTACCTCTGCCTCAACAAAACATTATTTTTTACCATTGCCTCAACAAATGATGTCTTTTACTATTATTCTTCCTTATAACAATTTTAGGTGTATTAGAGACATGTGGTGTAGACATTTGTGGTGTAAGATGGAGAGAAACACTTTGAAAAAGTAAGAGAGATAGAGAAGAGGAAGAAGAAAATAGTTTAATCACAAAAAACAAAAAGAGAAAATTTGTAATAGAGGAAGAGAAGAAAAAAAAAAATAGAAACGCAAAGATAAAATAAACAGAATAGATGAAATTAAAAATTTTAACAAAACATACGACAATAATTCTATAAATAACTGTTGTCGTATGTGACATATAATACTGATTTTTTATTAATCGTCATCATATGTATACAAGGACAATTTTTTATAATTATCGTTAAAAGGTTAGACATACAATAATAATTATAAACTTTTGCACCTATGACAATAATTATAAATAAATCAAAAATAATTTCAATACTATCACTACTTTTTTGACAACAATGATTCATGTATAATCATGTTAAAGAACATTTTTTTTTCTATTTTGTATTAGTATATAAATAAAAAATTGAATAACATATTAATAAGAAAAAAATAATACTTTTAAATTTTTAATTAAACAAAATATGAATTTCACTTTATGTTTAATTTATATTTGACCTTTTAATATAAAAAGAGCGGGCCAGAGAGAAATGTAATGGAATAAGTTAAACAAGTAAGAAAGTAAAATAATAATAAAAAAATATGAAAGATATATATATATATATATATATATATATATATATATATATATATAATTTCACATAAAACTATTTCTGTACTCATTTTGATAACTACTTTCATGGTTAAAAGAAATAGCAGAAAACAAGTAATGAAATAAAGATGAGAATGAAATGAGATAAAAAAAAAACAAGTGGACAAAAACAATAGTTGACTATTATTATTTTTGTGTGATAACATAATTCATGTTATGAATCTGAGTGTAATGAAGCACAAATAGTTGACCACGTAACTCCGAATTATCAAATAAGAAGGTGCTGTAGGAAATAAATTCCTTAAAGGAGGGAATGGTCCAATTCAATTAACACCCATCGTTACCATGTGTTTTACTATGCCATTTTGCATGCATTTTGTATAAAAATGTGATCCTATCCTATCTATCAAGATTGAAGTTCCTGGTCAACTATTCTTAGTGTGTTTTTATTTTTCCACTTTTCACATGGTGTAGAGAGGTATACAGTTTGCAATAGTTAGTATTATTTTATAAAAAATTACATTTAAGTAAACGTTATTTTTGCATAAATATGTTCTTATTACAATTTTTCGCAGCACAAAGAATGATTGAACCAATTATACTGAAGGCACACTGGTAGGATTGAAATGTAGTAGTTAATTAGATATATTTGTCGTAGTAAAAGGTTATAAAGAATATAGAGAATTAAAATCTATTTATAAATTTTTTTTATAGCGTTACAGTAAGTGAGTGATGTATAATATTATTATTGTTTAATTTGTAAGCCATTGGATGCCATGAGTTTCGTGATCCTATTTTGTCGAGAATTGAAAAAAAGATGGAGAATTCTGTTTCTACAGTTCTACCGCGTTTGCATATCACTATGCCCAGGTCTTTTTACCTCCCTTTGTTCCACTCTCATCCAAGGAGGGTGAAGGAGTGGAATCTTGGAGCCATTCCCAACTATAAATACCAGCCAAACGAGACTCAGAAAAAAGAAAAAATCAGCACCACCACAGCAAGCCAAACGCAAAAACAACGAATTAAAACGCAAACGCTAACGAATTAATTCGTTCCAGTAGCGTTTAGTTTTCCGGTCACGACTAAAATGCCGAAAATGGGACTCAAAAGCTTATTCTTATTTAAAACAACACAATCGCCACCTTCTAAAAAGACCTTCTCCCACGCGTTAACAGAGGAAAACATCGAAGCCGCTCGTTCCATAATTTCCACATGGGACCTTCTTTCTCCTTCCCACCAAACTCCTTCTCTCTGCCAACAAACCGTTCCTCTTTTCTCCAACACGCGTCAGGAAGCCAAACAGTACCTTAACGCCGTTATGAGTCTGCAGACCACTATGCACCACCTCGTCGAATACGATTCCAACTCGGAGAGCCTCGTTCAAGCCCAATTCCTAATGCAAATGGCCATGAAGAGGCTCCAAGCCGAGTTGTACCGGATTTTAGCCGAAAACAGGGACAATCTCGATCCTCAATCTGTCATCTCAACCGATTGTCGTGCCAGCAGCGTCTCCGACGATGAAGATTACGATTACTCCGAGAACGATTTCCGATTCGCCGGCCCCGGAAGCTCCATCTCCACTGTCGCCATGGTGGATTTGAAAGCCATTGCGGAGTGTATGGTTTCCGCGGGATACAGCAAAGAATGCCTAAAGATTTACGTCCAGATGAGAAAAGAAATCGTGGATGATGCGATGTGTCATATGGGAGTGGAGAGGCTGAGTTTCTCTCATGTTCAGAGGATGGACTCGGAGATTCTGGAATCGAATATTAAGTGTTGGCTGAACGCCTTTAAGATCGCCGTCCGAACTCTGTTTCAAGGAGAGAAAAAACTCTGCGACTGCGTCTTCGGTTCGCCGGAGAGGAGGATCGCGGAGTCGTGTTTTGCCGCGATTTGCAGAGATGCTATGACGGCGCTGTTCGGATTCCCCGAGAACGTGGCGAAGTGCAAGAAAACGCCGGAGAAAATGTTCATGACGCTGGACATGTACGTAGCGATCACTGAAAACCGGCAACAAATGGAGTCCATCTTATCGTCAGAATCAACCTCCTCCTTCAGATCGCAGGTGTGGGCTTCTAAGGCGAAGCTCGGCGAGGCCGTTCGGACGATGTTAACCAACTTCGAATCTGCGATTCAGAAGGAATATTCGAAGATTCCCGTGCCTGGAGGAGGAATCCACCCGCTCACGCGCTACGTCATGAACTACATCGCGTTCCTCGGCGATTACAGGGATGCGCTCGCTGAAATAGTCGCAGATTGGCGTCAGAATCCGTTGCCGGATTCTTACTACCGCAGTTCGAATCGCGAGGGAACCAAATGCTCGCCGGAGGTAGCTGAACGGATCGCATGGCTAATATTAGTGCTCCTCTGCAAACTCGACAGTAAAGCGGAACTATACAAGGACGTTGCACTCTCTTACCTGTTTCTCGCAAACAACATGCAATACGTCGTCGTAAAAGTGCGAACCTCGAACCTAGGGTTCATCCTCGGGGAGAATTGGTTAACAAAACACGAAGCGAAGGTGAAAGAGTACGCTTCCAAGTACGAGCGCATTGGATGGGGCAAGGTTTTTGCGTTGCTACCTGAAAACCCGACGGCGGAGCAAGCGAGGGAGATTTTCGAGAGCTTCAACGTCGCCTTCCATGAAACATGCAAGGCACAGTCCTCCTGGTTCGTACCCGACACCAATCTTCGAGACCAAATGAAAGCCTCGCTTACTGCTAAGTTAGTGCCAATCTGCAGAGACTACATCCACAAGTATCAGAACGAATCGGATGCGATTTCCGGGTTTTCGCCCGATGATTTGGCCAATGATCTCTCAGATATTTTATCCGGTGGCGTTTCGTTGTCGCAAACTTCTTGACCTCCGTATCGCTTGAAATGCCCGTGGTGTTGGACCCCGCACTCGGCTGGGCCCAGACGTGGCTAGGCCCAAATTGTTTTTATCGTGTTTTTGTTTAACGGTAAAGGCAAGAACGTGGCCCAGAAAATGACGCGATAGGGTATAAGATTTTTTTCAGTGGTGTTGTTCATTGTGCACAATTTTTTTTTTCTTTTAACTTTTTCCAATTCAAGGAATAAGTGACAAGTGAATAACCCCAATGATGGAGGTATACGGATAATAAAGTGTATGGTGTAATTTAAACTGTCACTTTTTTTTTTTTTTCAAAGTGTTACATTACATTGTTAGGTAGTTGAAGAAGATGAAAATAATAGAATTTATCTTTAAAAGTCCTTTTTTTTTGAGGAAGAAAGTGAAAAGTATGTTTACCTTAAAGGTATTATTATTATTATTATTATTATTATTATTATTATTATTATTTATTATTATTATTTACAAAAATACTAACAAGATTGTTACGTCCCAAATTTATTTTTTATTAGTTTGGATTTAACTCAAATAATATTATTATGTGAAAAACAAACTTATACTTATTTATTTTTCAATAATATTGATATTAGCTGAATGAATTTTCAATTAAGAAATATATTATTACAAATTTAAGTAAACTGACCTGCTTTCAAGTTTAACTCATTAATTCCATATCAATGGCATATTAATATTTCTATAAGTGACTCTTTTATTTTATTTTAATTTATCTTTTAGAATTCATCTAATATTTTAAAAAGAGTAAAAAGAATAATTGTGCAACTTTATAAAATTATATAAAATTTCCTTTGAAAAATGATAAACAAATTATTACTTTTTTAGAATGCAAACGTTAATCGAACTATTTTATAAATTTGAATTTTTTTTTATCTCTATGTAGCTCCTAATCCGTGATTGTAGTCTCTTATTTAAAAATTTTAAAAACTGTATTTTTATAAATTTTCATGTTATTTATTTATGTTATTTTATTTATCGCCAATTAAAACCTAGACCAACACATATTATGAAAACATGTCCATGTAAAAGATCTTATAAATTAATTTAACAACAAAAATGTAAAATTAAAAATTAAACCAAAATAAATTATTAAAAAAATCAGAATATTATTTTTTTAAAAAAAACATGGATGAAAATGAAGGGAGAAGAAAATTGAAATTTTGCCAATTGTGTTAAAGTCAATGTCTTTTAATTACATAAATAAAAGGACCAAACTTCTAATGACTGATTTTGTTTCTTGTGGACCATATACATTAGAATAATAAAGAGTTGGAGTCAAATGAAATTAATAATAATTAAATAAATTTTTTTATTTAATTTTTTTTATTTTAACACCCTCCCATAGCAAACAATAGAGTAGTGTTAGGTACACCAATCCATATTTTGCTATTGAAGTGGAGTAACTTTTTATCTATGAAAAACAATTATATTTATATTTATTGGAAGGTTCTAAAATAGTATTTCCAGATATATTTTAATTTTAGAAAAATTATATCCTCTTATATATACATTTTTTTTTCACGAACGAGGTGAGGTTAGTAAAGTTATATTTTCATAAAAGTAGAGAATTTTTGTTTTTTCTAACCTTTATTATAACATTCATTTCTTCAACTTTCCTATTTAATTTCTTTAAGTTTAATAAATGTTTCAAAAATATATGAAAAGTTAATTTAACATTTTTAATGTTTATTTAAATTTCAAAAGAATAGCATAAAGCAATGTTGTTTTTTCAAAAGGTTAATCAATTAATGCTAAATTTTTGTGTTTTTTCTATCGGTTGTTTCGTTGGTACATATAATTTCAATATCCAAAATAATAATAATAAATAATTAAATAATGAAATCAATATCTGAGCGATCAACGTAACAGATACAAAGAGGGATCACTAATTTCTCCGTTTAAGCAGAGGATTTGTTTGCTTCTTCTCCATTAATTAATTGTTAATTTTTAGGCTAACAATTTTTTCATTATTTTAAAATTTTTAATTTTATTTCACTGTTATTTATAGTTTTCATTTTGTTTTATTATTTTTTAAAATAAGTTAATGATATCCTTTCTTTTATCTAATGAATGAATATACGAATATATATATGTATATTTATCTAATGAATGAATATACGAATATATATATGTATATGTATATATATATATATATATATATATATATATATATAATTTTTAAAGTAAAAATTAATAATATAAGAGATTGAGAACAAATATTATAAAAAATTAATCAAATTGGTATTAAAAATAATAAAATATAAAGAAAAAAAATTAGATCTTTATTTTTTTTTAATCTCATTGTCATGTAAAAAATTATTATATTTAATTTGTTGTCTAATGGTAGATCTCATTATGATAACTTGGAATTTTTAGACTTTGTATTTTAAAATTGTTTTTTTATTAATATTTGTAGATGTTGAGACTTTTTTACAATAAATCAATTTTCATGTTAAACATCTTTTCACTTTTTTAAAAGAATGATAGATCTTATACTCAAGATCTCATAATAAAGTTGTTTAACATCTGAATTCCATAAATTTATTATTCTTTTTAATTTTGAGTAAACTATTTTACGCATGTAGTGAATTTTTAATATTCTATATATGAATTTAATTAAAAGAAGGCATGTTTTATAAACATATATTGTCGTTATTTTTATTAAATTTAACAAATATACTTTGACAAACATAATAGCTATAATTATATATATTGATAAATTTATAAGTGTTATAAAAATCCTTAATTACAACCAAACTTTAATATATATATATATATATATATATATATATATATATATATATATATATAATTGTATACTTTAACAAATCTATATATATTGATAAACATATACGGTGGTTTATCAACCTGTATTAATATGGATATGGGCTTTATAAAGAGCAGAACCAATTAAGTTTTAGCCCAACAATTTCGTATTTTTGAATGTTCAAAACATGGGCTCACATTAGCATTGGGTAATTTTTTTTAAAAAAGGACACAGTGAACAAAGGCACTTTCCTCCTCAATTTCCATAGTTTATTCCTATACTTTTATAATTTAATTAAATTTTATTATATCCTTGCACATTTTAGGAATTGAGAATATAGTTCCAGAAATAAATTTCCAAAAATATATTCTAGAACAATTTTTTTAGAAACATAATTCTAAAAAGTAAGTTCTATAATGCATTTATGAAAAAATAATTTTAAAAATGTATTATGGAATTATTTTTAAATTTTTTTTTCTGTAAAATTATTTTTAAAATACATTTTTAAATTTATTTTTTGATAAATATATTATGGAACAGGTGTTCCAAAATATATTTCTGAAAAAATTAATCTAAAAATGTACATCATATCATATTTAGTGTTACGAAACTTAATCTGATTTTCTTCGAATTGTTTCAAATCAAATTATTTGAATCTTAATATGTAATTTCAGTGCATAAATAATTATATAATATTAATAATTACGTTCAAAACAATCTTAAATGAGGTAATAAACCAAATCTACGAATTTATGAAAACGCAGAAGATTAACAATGGATGTACATAACTTTTGTAGAAAAATAGAAAAGGGGAATTAGTGTTTGAAAAACAAAAGTTATTAAAAAATATTTTAATTATTTTACTTGGACATGAAGATACAGGAGCCGTAGGAAAAAAAAAGTATCGGGAATAAGATGAATAAAAGTCAATCATATAACCTATATAAATAGTTAAAAATTATTCCCAAACACAAACTTCGTTTCCGGTTGTGGCCTTTAATCTATAAATAATTTAATCAAATAATATTTCATATGATTTGTTGATTCAAAATCATAGTTAATTTAACTTCTATATATTATTATACAACTTAATAAACATGACAACTTATAATTGAATAATAGTACAAATATATAAATATTTTCATGTTTCTATATCGAAAATAATGAACCCAAGCTTTTTCTCCTGTGCTATTAACTTTTATTTAATTTTATTTTGTTAAAAAAACTGTGATTTTAGCCCTATTTGTGTTTTTTTTACGAGTTTATTGATTGATTGGGGTTTAAATGACCAAGAACCTGGGAATTTTAGTTATAAATACACTTATTATAAAATATCATAATTATTTTTTAAATGATTACTAATAATTCTCTTAAATATCCTTAATTAGTCATTTTACCCTTATCAAATGCCTTTTTTTTTTTTAAAAGTAACTTTTTAAATAATTTTTTTTATCTGTGTATTGTGACTCTTTAGTAAAGAGTTGAGAGTTTAAGGTTTGTGACAAAGGGAGGAGGTTTCATTTTTTATTTCTCCTTTTAACTACCTTTGTACAGTGTGAACATGTCCACTTCCCACTCTCTTAATATTTTGTTATATTATTAATTTTTAAAAATGATATTTCTTTAATATATATTACATTTTTTTCATTTTTCTCTCATGTTTCTTCTCACTTCTCTTCAAATATATAATATGAAAGTAACTGTTTTTCTAATTTTTTTCTTTATTTATAACATATGATAAATATAATAAAAAAATCCATACTCTTTTTGTATTTTTATAAATTAATAAAGTGCATAGAAGATTTTATCTTTTTTGTTATAAACGTGTTGAAAGGATAATGAAAACTCTTTTTAGTATATATATTAATAAAGTGCATTACTTTTTGTTATTATAAACGTGTCGAAGGGACTATGAATCGGTCGGAGAAAAAGTAAGTGAAACCAAAATTGAAAAAGAAGTTTCATCCAAAAGTTCGGTTATGGCTATAAAAAGTAAATGGGTTCATTATGCAAGTTGTCCTGTTGGGGATTGCCGCAAATTCTTGATGGATTAGATGAAGAACCCTAAAACATGAATTGACCCATCACACTCATACCTTCACTCTTTCTTGTTGGATGCTGCATCCACTTCACCTTCCCATCCACCACCATGCAACTCAAATCACAGCTTGCAAAAAACATCCACAAATCAATGAATAAATATGTTCTTCCATTTCCATGTTCCATCCTAAACCAATCAAATAGGACATAATTATGTGTTTGGCAATAAGCTGATGATTTGCATTAGTTTCATTTCATCAACGTTTGATGACTCTTCTAGCTTTTATAGTTATGCCAAACTTTATCTTTTGCTTTTTATGTGTGTTATGTTTAATCTTAATGATGATCAAAATAAAAAACAATGAACAAAGTTCCTAACTCATCAGCCATGAGGAGAATCTTCCCCAGAATTAAGAACATTTGCAGATTTGTTCCCTTCACGTAAAGTATGAACAAGATGGTTATCAACCTGTGTTTTCAAATTAAGTTCAAAACTTATAAAAATCGTTCAATTTTTGCCGTTAAACAGAGACATGCCTAACTACTCTGATGCTAAGCCTGATCACAAAAAGGGTAAAATATTAATTTTGTTTTTTTTGGTAACCCACCATTTTTATCATTGTATAATAATAACAATAATAATAATAATGCGTATCCATATAGTAGTATAATAACGTATTAATCTTAACTCTGCACACACGACAGAATCTTAATTACGATTTTTAGTATTAATAGAAAATTATAAAATAATAGTTTAACTCATAATTTCGTAATCTTTAAGAAATTCAAAACCATGGATTAGTGATTATGAGGGCATGTTGATGTTTGACAATGTCCATCTATGATTGCCATTATTAGCATAGCATACATATTGATGGTAACATATATACGTAGACTTTGATTGATGTATGCATAAAACTAAATCTGTTAATTATCATTCATGGCAGAAAATGACATAGAAAATTCGACAGAACAAGGAGGTTAATTATAGCGTTATCTCACACATTAATTTTGGCCGGAAGTCTTTGGTGTTCTTCTTTTCAACAAAATTTATTTGCTTACTACAAAAAAAAAACTCATAATTCTATTGGAGAAACTATTAAATAATAACTACTACAGCAATAATATTATAATAATAATAATAATTACATAATTATTAAAAAAAAAACTAATAGTTAACTCTTGTGTTTAAATTGATATTATAATGAAAAATCTTTTTTACAACGAAGAGTATGTCAGAATAATTTTCATTAAGGTATAATAAAAAATCTCTTTTGATATAAGAGAATGTTATAAACAAAATTTATTTACGTGAGAAGTGTGATCAAATTTTACATAAATTATAACATAAATGAATATAATTTAGTTTATAAGATTGATTTACATATCTCATTATTAAAATTAATTTTATTCGTGTTAAGATATTAAAATTTTTTTAAAGTAAAAATGTATAATAAAATCCCTCATCTATTATAAATATAATAATATATAGATAAAACAAAAATCACCATATTTAAACATGATAATCTTTTTTAAGGCGAGGATGTGTGATATAATGGAAATATAATAATATTATAATATATAAAAATAAGATCAAATAGAACGAGTTAGTTTTATAAAATTGAATTAGATATTTAATTATTTTTAAAACAGAATTAAGAAGAAAAGTGTCTTAAAAAATTTGTAATCATATTATATATATAAAGTTTATAAATGAAAAGTGAATTAGTTCTAGGCTCATCTCAAACTTAGTAGAGTAGACTAACCTATTTTTATAAATGATCTATATAAAATAAATAAAATTATAATTAAAAAAATATTTATTTGTTTTATGTATTTGAAATATATAAATATAATAAAAATTATAATTTATTTTATTAATATTAACCTATTAAACTTATATTATTTATTATAATTAAATACTTTAACTACATAATAGTAATTATTTAATTTATCTACTAAAAATATTAATTAATAATTAAAAATTTTAAAAATTATTCATATATAATTAAGTATATATTTTAAAAAATATACGATCAAGCAATATATCCATTTATTATTTGATAAAATTGATTCACGTATATAATTCATCTTCATTATAACGAGACAACCTATCTTGTTTTTTAATAACTTGTTCCATTTTCCCATCCCATTTATATAAATTTTTTTTTCTCATAAACATATACATGATATAAAGCTTATAATTATAAAAAGAATAATCTTCAAATATACTATATAAAATTTTTTTTTCTAGATATTCAACATTTTACATTTGATTGCTTCATCCAAATTAATATAATTACGGACTGCTGTACAAATAAAATATAATTATTCATTTCCAGTATATTGTTTTTTATATGTTTTCTTTCTTTACTAAAAATTATTATTTAATTAAAAATTATATTTTATATATATTTAAATATGTTCATGAAAAACCAATTTTAATTTTAATCTTGTAATTTATTTTATCTGATTTCCATTTTTAAAAAATTCTCACTACAATCGTGTTATCCATTTATGTGTTTGGCGAAATGTCTTATCTACTATAGATAATACGTTGTAGTATGTAGTGTAATCTAAAATTAATGCCGTTATCTATTTAATTTTAGGGATAAAGGTAATCGTGTGAGATTTTAGAAAGATTAAAGCCAGGGAAAAATACTTTGTAGATAACTTATTAATTTTTTAGGAATTAAAATAAATAATTTAATTTTTTAATAATAGATGAAATTCAAAGAATGTTGTCTAGAGTTTGTACCTTTAATATTTTTTTACTATTTTCATATATTTATATTTATTTATTCAAGTCAATGTTGAATTTTAGGCTTTTAACATGATTTTATGACATGTAGCATTTTAAATTTAACACATTAATTTACATTTTAATATGTATTTAATTTTAAAATATGTATTGTTTTACTTCTTGATAGGTGTATAGTATTTTAATAACAAGATACTTTTTTTCTTCCAAAAACTAAAATATAGTAATGTTTGCTAGTTATTTTTTTCCAATATTTTTGTAACGTATATAGTATTCGTGAGTAATTATTTAGTTAAATTTTAAAATTGTAATTTAGTAGTACTATTCTAGTATGTGTGATACACGAGATAAATGTAACTTTTAAAATTATAATAAATAACCAAATTAAAGTATACATATTATGTTATTATTAAAATTTACAATGGGTAAATATTTTTTTATTTCTTAAAGTATAATTTAGATTTATGAATATATATCTTTTTTTATGTCACGATTGTACAATATAAGTACAATATAGTTGACATTCTCCAAAACCCTTATCTTAAGTCAATGATCTACCATGAATACATCATCCACATCCATGCACACATCAGAAATTAAGCACAAAATGATACCACTCATAAATAGGGTGATAACGTTCGTATTAACGGTGAAATTAAAATCAAACTAATCACATTTTGTTGAGATTATTTTATTTAATTAGAAAAAAAAACATAATTTCGAACTAAGCTAATTTAATTTAAATTGAGTTCATTTAATTGGATTTATCGAATTATAATAAATAATACACTATTATATATATATATATATATATATATATATATATATATATTATCTCTATTTATTGTTTGTTTTACTTAAATATTTAATTTATAAAATCTATTAATATAAAAATGTAGAAAATCATTAATTTGTCATGAGATTGATGCAAGAACCAAACTAATTGTAGTAAATTAATAAAACACTAATTAACCAAATCAATTCGAATACTTAACTTAAATTGGGGAATTTATGACGTGAATCCAATAATTACCTAATTACAAAGACCGAAAAGACATTAAGAAGTGAGAGGACAAGGAAATTAGGTTAGGAATCTTCAATCTTATAAATTATTAACCATACACTGACTCAAGTGTTTGACTTTACGTAGGTATCGTTGGAGGAACATCACTCTCTACACCTAATCAAAATTATTGGCCCGGCAACATATACATGCTACTGTAAATTGTGTCGTAACTGTCAGATGGGGTCATATCTTCAATAAACTTTATACGATATGGGTTTATTATGGAAAAAAAAAAAGTCAATCAACATTAAATATATATATATATATATATATATATATTTATAAATTAAAAATAATTATTAACTTTAAATTTAAAAATTGTTTTATAGATTGATTTATACATAAACTAGTTTTAAATTTATTTTTTTCAATACGTTGACTTCCACGTTAGAACCAAAAAACTTGGTTGGGGAATAACTGTTTGGCGCAGGAAAGACACCGGAAACTGCATAAGCTTCATTTTTTTGCTTGGGTTTCTGTTGACTCTTAAGCTTATCCATGCATTAAATTGTCTGGTTTGAGTAGGTTTGCATCATTAAGGTATTGAGTTTCCAAGAAAGTGTGTATTTATCTTAATATCGTTATATTCTGTTTATTTTTTTAAGTTTTTATTCATCATAATTTTATCTTTAAAAAATATATAAATAAATTAAGATATAAAAATATATTTAAATTATTATTGATTTTAATTCCTAGATTATATAAGACTCATAAATGCACCATAATATAAGTCTTCAGTTAGGGCTAAGAGGTAAGAACGAGACTCTACTCTCGACTCTACTGGTAGATATCAATATTTCATCTAAAAACAAAAGTATCTCGAATTTATATATATTATAATAATATAATTAAGGTCAATTTTTGTGATTTTAAAACTTTTATTTGTCACAATTTTATTTTTAAAAATTATTTCAGTTGATTAAAAAATGTATAAAATATATTGTTTTTCATTCTTAAATGATGTAAGATTTATAAGTAAATAAAAGAGAGTGTTCAATTAATTTGGTTAGTTAGAAAATTGTTCATCCAAGACAAAAAAAATGTAGGATAAAAAAATTGTTAAAAAAAAGTGTGAAGATTATTTCAGGAAGTTAACAAATAGTTATTTTTTATTAAATCAATTAAAAAAATTGTATTAAATGTTGTCTTTTAGAGTTAAAATAAGAAAAAGATATTTTTACAATTTATTATAATAATAATAATAATAATTTATTTATTGTAATATAGTGATAATTTCATAAATAAGAAACAATCTTTTATATATTTATTACGTAGATTAAATTTTGAAGTGTCATAATAAATTGTTTATAATATTCTTATTTTAATTTTATAAATTTTTTTAATCAATATAGAAAATCTTCTTTATAAGTAAAAAAAAAAAAGTGAATTTGTTAATTTTTTTAACACCTTCAATTTGCCTTTTTTGCTACTTTGTTTACAACTCTTGAGCAAGGTAAATCTTCCTATTATTTTAAAAAGATGCTCTAGTGATTATTGGTTTAGGTATGTATAACAAAAACTTCCTTACTCTGCTATTTTCAAAGGGGAATATATTGTTTTTGAATATATTTTCATTTCAAGAATTATAAAAACTTATTTTGATGTTCAGAAGATGTAAAAATCCTTAAATCCAAAGGATAGTGGGGTTCGATGTCACGTAAGAACCTGTGCTGAGAAAATAAAAATGCTCAAAAGGTGACCAAAATCTCTGACAAGCTTGAATCTGATTTTTTATGTTATGTAGGTCGAACCTCAATTGACATAAATAATAAAAGTATAAAGTTTTTATAAAATTTATACATGTATGAATCGTAAAATTTAATAACCTAAAAGCTTTAAAACAAACTGCCATCAAATGTTGATGGTGAAACTTTTAGAGACTAGACGATGTAAGGTTTGTCTATATTATATAGAAAGTAGTTTATACAGTGTTTGAAGGGATGAACATTAATCTTTTAATTCTCAAGGAAAATCAATCAAGTCCAGGTACTATGCATTCGCCGTATAGCTCATATAGAATATGAGACACATTGTTCAGGCATTTAATTCAAGTTAAATTCTCTTTGTTTTCTTCTGTTTCCTTTTCCTTTCTATTTTCAGTCGAACATCCACTTTGCTCGTGGTCACTAGAATGAAAAAAGATGCACTGTAAAACTTATTGTCGATATTATTGAGACTGAATCAAACTCTCAACAAGATTGTGAAAAATCATTGTAAAAATTTCAAATCAAGTTTTAGAAATTGTCGCATGTGTGATGAGAGATCAACATTGTAGGATGGTTTTATTATGATTTATATTGATAACAAGCTAACAACAATGAAAACTGATTCAGATAAATGGTCACACTGCATGAATTCTAGGTTTCGATTATTATCTTTCATCAGCAAATCATACATAAATATCACATTAAATTATTTAGTTTTATCAAAACAATATATATATATATATATATATATATATATATATATATATATATATATATATATATAAATAATGAAGGTTGACTTAAATAGTAAAATACAATCGTTGCATTGTCCCAAAGGTGTTTCAGCGTTGTATTGTTGATTATCTTTCTTTGGTAAGTCATATATAACTACCTAACTACAAGTTGTGTTATGTTATGTTGCGTCCTGGAAATTTCTATGTGCAGCTGTGTATATAAATTAATCAGTACGCAATGCGCCAGACATGTGAGTTAGTACGTAAGATTAATTAGTGTGTATTCTGTTCCACCATATCAACCATATCTTCTTCCTTAAATGTGGATAACCATATGACAAACCTACTACCTGTGCCATTTCATTTGTTATACAGAATTCCACAACTGCTGAAAGTTGCTTTTACTACAGCCTTAACTAGCTGGCTGGCTTGTGAGTTGTAATATATAATACACATATATATATATATATATATATATATATATATATATATATATAGGAGGTTTGAAGAAATAAAATTTTGATGGAGGTGTCCTATTATGGAATAAAGAGTTACTCATCAGAAAACTGTTTCTTCCTAACATGCTCAAAGCGTGACTAATGCTTTCTTTCTAGTCATAAAGGTTGAAATGAAAGTTTCAAAGGGATAAGTTTGTTAGGGGTTGAGCTATAGCTATACTAATACTAATACCAATACCATTTCTCTTACTATAACTATTCAGTATTGACATTTGGATCTTAGGTAGTCTCTACCCTTTATTCTCTCATTACTCTCTCCCTTCTTATAAAGTACTACCTTTATTTGAATTTCAAACCCATCAAATTCTTTCTAGCTCTTACGTATACTTCCTCTCTTCCTTTCTCTCTCTCTCTCTAATGGAGTTCCTAACATTACTTTATGGTGCTACAGCATTGTACTTGTGTTTCTTGATCTGGAAATGGTTTGATCAGAGAAGGGACCAAGAGTGTTACATATTGGACTACCAACTGTACAAGCCAAGAGATGAAAGAAAGCTTGGAACTGAATGCTGTGGCAGGATCATAGAGAGGAACAAGCATTTGGGTCTGAATGAGTACAAGTTCCTTCTCAAAGCCATTGTCAACTCTGGCATTGGTGAGGAAACTTATGCCCCAAGCAACGTCATCGAGGGCCGTGAGGCAAGTCCAACACTGAACGATGGTGTCACAGAAATGGAGGAATTTTTTTGTGACAGCATTTCCAAGCTCCTTGCAAGGTCGGGCATTCCCCCCTCACAGATAGATGTGCTTGTGGTGAATGTCTCTATGTTATCCATTGTTCCTTCCTTGACTTCAAGAATCATTAGCCACTACAAGATGAGGGAGGACATAAAGGCTTACAACCTCACTGGGATGGGTTGCAGTGCTAGCCTTATTTCATTGGACATCGTTAGGAACGTGTTCAAGTCACAAAAGAACAAGTATGCACTTTTGGTGACTTCTGAGTCTCTCAGTCCGAACTGGTATGTTGGCAACGACAGATCAATGATTCTTGCCAACTGTTTGTTCCGGACTGGTGGATGTGTCATACTTTTGACAAACAAAAGGTCCTTGAAGCACAGAGCCATGTTTAGGTTGAAGTGTTTGGTGAGGACTCATCATGGGGCTAGAGACGATGCCTATAGTTGTTGCAATCAGAAGGAAGACGAGCAAGGCAGGCTTGGGTTTTACCTTGCCAAAAACCTTCCCAAGGCGGCTACAAGAGCCTTTGCTGATAATTTAAGGGTGTTGTCAACCAAGATTTTGCCAACTAGGGAGTTGCTAAGGCTTATGATTGTGTCCCTCATAAAAAAACTGAGGCAAACTAGTTCCCCCAAGTCTTCAAGTGAGGGATCTAATAAATCTAACAAATCCCCTTTGAACTTCAAGACTGGGGTTGAACATTTTTGCCTCCACACTGGAGGAAAGGCTGTGATTGATGGGATTGGAATGAGCTTGGATCTGTGTGAATATGACCTTGAGCCAGCAAGGATGACACTGCACCGGTTTGGGAACACTTCAGCTAGTAGCCTGTGGTATGTGCTAGGGTACATGGAGGCCAAGAAAAGGCTCATGAAGGGTGACAGAGTACTGATGATAAGCTTTGGTGCTGGCTTTAAATGCAACAGCTGTTTGTGGGAGGTAATGAAGGATCTGAGGGATCATCCCAATGTGTGGGACGAATGCGTCAATGACTACCCACCAGAGTCCTTGGCCAACCCCTTCATGGAGAAGTTTGGTTGGATCAATGATGTTCAAGATGCAAGCAACTTCAAACTTCATGATTTTCCCAAGTAAGGTTACATATTGTTCAGAAATTCTATAATATCTTCAGAAATTTAAGAGTTTTGATACTGTTGTTATTAAGAAACGTTCTTCCATGTGTGTCAAAGTCAGAACTATTGACAAAAAAGAAACCGGTATCAAAATTCTTATACTTTCTGGATACTATAGCAATTCTTTATATTGTATTACATTTTTAAGAGAAAAATCAAAGAGAAAAAAAAAAAAAAAACTCCAAAGTTTATATATTTCCCAACAGGCATGACTGTCACACACCATACATGCATCTGGATTAAATTTTTCTGTAAACTAGTACTTATTATTGATGAATCCCTCAAGGGTTCAGTACCTAATAAGAGGTGCCCTTTGACTGAGTCCTGTCACGCTGTTAAAGGGTATTATGGTTTCCTTTTCTTATATAGGATGTGATGATAATTTTTATTTTTTTTTAACTTTTGTGACAAATATTGTACTTCTTTTTCTTAAATATATAACTTTCCTCAATTATGGTCGTGAAGTGGAAGGGTGGATGGAGAGTAAGTTTTGTGGGGTTGTGCATGGATTCTACCTTTTTATATTTATTTTAAAACACAACTAAGAGGTTAACAGGTTCATTGCTTTTAAGATCACGACTTACTCAAAGCAACTTATTATTCGCATTGAATCGTCCGTTCTTGTCATTGTCAATTTCCTCTGGATCGATAAATGTTTTGTCTTTCGGTCTTGTGTCGTTTTCATGAAGATATAAAAAAATTTCAGTCTTGATTAGATATTTGTCCTTCCAAATTGTGAGATTTATGACTTAATGCACTTTGTTAACGTAGTTCTTCTATTACTTTTTTTCCCTTTATCTGTTATTTTTGCTAATTTTGAATTCCTTTAAACAGCACAAGCTTTTCAAAACTTCAAATAGATTGAGATGATGTTAACTTTTTAAACTTGTATAAGAAACATTAATTAGCGTTATCATCATATATATATAGTGAATCTAATCACGTATTAAAAGTTAATGACATAATTATACTAGAAATCGATATATACTGAAGCAAATAATTGTACTTCATTCTCATGTCCAGTTTTTTACAGTAATCTCATTGCTTAAAACATAAGAAGAAATGTAAGTTATTAAAGTAAGATTATGAGGGCTAGTTGATTATAATTAATAGGCATGTGAGAGATATGAATGGGGAATTTGAACTGTGAAACTAGAAAAAGTTAATGTGAACTCTACAAGGCAGTATCATGTCTGCTGGCATGGTAAAACTAATCTGACACAAAAGGAAACTCTTTTCCGTGCATCTGAGAAGAAGGGTCCCAGCACCATGAATATGATATGTTGAATTTAGTGTGAAGTACGTAAACGGTTGGACATAGTTAGTGACAGATGCTTGCAAAATGCAAAACAGATAAATGAAACTTCAAATTTGTAGAAATGGTTTGCGTGGTCCTTGAAAAGGTGTGGATTTGCAAAGAAACCCTAGCTTCTAACGTGTTTTTCTCCCCCTCGTTGCTGTAACAAACAATGACAACCTGTGAAGCCTTTCAAGCATTGGTTCGTCGATTGGTACTAGGTTTTGGGGTTGCAACTTCTGGGCCATTTCTTACTTTCATTAATAAATAAAAGCTATTCAGGGATAGGAACTTCTAAGGATATGGAAGGAAGGAGGAACACTGCTTTTAAAACATGAATCGAAAAGAAAAAAGAAAATTTTGACATTTACCCATGTCATGGATTGATGAAGTGGTGCTAAGTAGGATTAATTGTCATAAAATAAAGTAGTTGAAATGAAAGGGATTTACATTTACCCATTACTGGAGAGTATTGAAACTGTGCAGGGTTGAGAAGTTGAGGAAAGTATATGGTTGATTAATGTAGGGTTTGTTTGGGATTTATGCTAGTAAACATTCTGATATGGAAAAACCATGTGATAAGGGACAGATTGACAGCTACTACATGTACAGCTGCAACTTGCCACAACAAAACCTGCCATAATTTTGCAACACTTTATCAGAATTTACTGTCATTCTTGAAAGGGAAAGGTTGGGTTTAGTACAGTGTTTGCCCCTCTTATACATTTTAAACACCAACCATTTCAACTATTCAAACTCCGTATTGTTTCTGCATGATAATATTAAACTTAATTGTTCATAAGCATCATAACTCCATCCCATTGTTATTATGACACATTCATGTATTGTTCAACTTCTGTATATTGAATGTGAACTTTCGAAAATTTTGATTTTTTTATTAACTTCTGGAGTTATGTTTTGAACTGCATGAACGAATTCTGTAACACAAAGTCTTATGTAATTAATTGAGCAGAGAAAAAGAGCATTAAAAGGGGAAATTATGGAGTGACACGGAGTCAACACTGCACGACAACGAAGACGCGTGACATCAATTTCTTTACAACAAACTCACGTGCGTCTTCGTTGGCCAATCTAAACTAGTAAATGACGAATCACAAGTTAGGTGCACCCTTGTTTTTGGCCTAGCTAGTTGAATATTTTAAAAACCAAAGTTATATTCTAATAAATTAAAAATAAAAATATAGATTTTAAATGATTTTATATTTTAAAAAAATACAATACATTTTATAATATTGGATCGCTTTATTGTTTTAACAATATTTTATTTATTTAATTTTTACTCCTTTCAAATATATGTTATAAAATAATGAAATATATCTTATAAATATATTTTTTTTTCTTAATTTCCCGACATGAAGATATAATGATAATGAACGAGAATTTTAAAATTATAATCCTTAGACATGAAAATTGAATTCACCCTATGATGACGCAACGTTTAAACACTTTGTTCTTTAAATAAAATATTAACACACCAATAATCAAAAATAGAGTTTTACTTTATTTATACAAACTCTTAATCCTTGATTAAGAACTTATATTTCAATATGTGATACGTTATTTAGAAGTCTATATAAAGGATAAATTTGTTTTAAATTAAATTAAATGACTTAATTACTATAAATTTTTAATCAAAACAACTGGATACTATAAGGAAAAGAAAAAAACAAATTATGTTACTGTGTATGTATTGTATTAGTTGAGTCTTAATCTTTGTTTATATTTTAATTGCAAACAATTAATAAACGTATCTATTATTAATCAAACAATATTTTTTTCTTACAACAATAAAAATAATATTTTAGTACAATTAGTTGAAATTGTTTTGGCTTAACATTTTAAAATAAAATAAAAATAGTATGATATTTATCTAAAAACAATTAATGTAAGGAATTATAACTTATAAAGAAAAAAATAAATATAAGAATATATATATTAATAATAATTTTTTAAATAATTTCATCCCTAGATTAAAAATATACTGTGCAACCAAATTTTATATAATCGAGTGGATGTTAGGGACATGACAGCTCAATTTCCCAAACATTTATTATAAGCTACTAATGATTTGATGGCATAATAATAATAATAATAATAATAATAATAATAATAATAATAATAATAATAATAATAAGATTGATAATTTAAATATCAAACATTTATATGTCTCCCAATATAACTAGTTTTAATAAATGAAGTCTTATTAATATATTGATTAAACAAATATATAAAATTTAATTGTTATGCAAGACATCAACGATAATAATATATTTTTAACTTTTAAACATCATTAGATTTATATAATGAGAAATTAAGCAATAATTACAATTATTTTCGTTAATATATTTTTAAATATAATTCTTTTATCTTTTAAAAGTGCTACAATTCATAAATATAAAAAATGTATCATAATCAATAAACGAATACATGGATTCAGTACTCATTAATAACCCCATTAAAACTCGATATCCTTTCCCAGAAATATCTAATATGAAATCTGCATTTATAACTTACTTTTAAATATTATCCCTGTGATTAATATATGATTTTCATTAAATAAACTAAGAATAAAATAATTACAAGAAAACTGTGAAAATGATTTTATTTTATATCTAAATGATTCTTATTTTATATTATAGGGATTAAACATGATTTTTATATTTGATACTTCTAATCTGTGTGATAATTATATGCAAATGTCTTAAATTTAATAAAATAATTATATGATCTCATTTTTTAATTTCTATTTCATAATAAATATATAAGTATAAAATATTTTTTACATAAAAAATAAATGCATACATGAAATAAAGTTAATAGTATTTCTTAATTTATTTTAGGATTTAAGATTTAAGAGAGAAAGAATAGTTTTAAACCGTCAACCAACTTTTGTCTTGTAACCAACCTATTAATTCGACAAGTCTTTGTAATTATTTTTTTATTATATAATTTAAATATATAAATATATTATAATATTATAAAATATATATTTCGGACACCAAAACAAAATTTTGGATTTTTCAGGAAAAAATTCTACGTGTTCTAAAAATATAACTAAGTTAATCGTATTATATTAATCTGATAACGTTTAACGTTTTTATGTATTTTTATTTTATTTTATCTACATATTAATTAATTTCTTAAATTTAAACTTTCCAAAAAATAAACCCTAGAGTAAATTCCGAAAACTTTAATCCTTTCAAACACAATGATTTTCTATTCCAAAAAAAAGGTAGAACTTTTAATAAAAAAGTGGTGCATTTAGCAAATTGCTGGTACGGCCCAGTTATACCTTAACATCATTATTCACTTTCATATATGGACCCAAAAAGTGAAATCTCCGAATACTTCGCATAAATCACGTTTGAAAATTTTCGAGATTAATTTGTTTTTATTTTAGTTTATTTATTTACTTACTAAGAGTGTTGTAAGTTACCATTAAAATAATATATTTCTAAAAACTTATACTACATAAATATTCGTAAATGATTCATATTTATGCAAGTGATGGTTTATCTTTCTCATAATCTGACTACTAATAGATTTGTTCCAATTGTTCTATTGAATATTTTTTGGCATAAATAAGGTTGGAAGAACGTGGTATTAAAACCTTTCTCCATTTTTGCTAAAAAAGTAAAAAAAAAAAGTGGTTTATTTTTATTTTTTAATATAAACTTTAATATATATATATATATATATATATTTATAAAAGGCATTTAATTATAATTTCGTTGATTATTTATATAAAGCAAAAATATTCTATTTCGTTTTTAATTTGTTTTATAAAGTTATGCTTCACTAAAGAAAAAATCATCTAAGTAGGACCTTGATAGGAATCTGAAACCCTTGTTGTTAGGCCCCGCCACATATAAATTATCAAATTTTAAAACTAATATTTAATAATTATATTAAAAAGTTAAGTTTTAATCATATGTATGGTGATCTTTTTAGATTTTTAATCCGTGATTTATATTTTTAACAATAAAGATGTTGAGTAAAAATTATTATTTAAATTAATTTTCACAAAGAATTATTTTAACTAGAAAGACGCATATATGTTTTTTTTTTAAGAAAAAAAAATGACAGAAACGAATCATACATGTTCCGTTGAGAGGAGTGAGACAGTGAAACTATTCTCCATACTCTATTGCTTTATCGTCTCTCAACCCAACCCGGGCCAACTAGTTAGATTAGAGGCAAGCTTTTGTATTCTCCTTGCAACTCTCTCTCTCTCTCTCTCTCTCCATCGCTTTCTTGTTCCGATTTAGGGCACCCAAACTCGCTCTTTGACTCGTAACCTTATCGCTCATCTTTCTTCTTCAGGTACTCTCTCCCTCATTTTTATTTTTTATTTTTTCTATTCGCGCTCCTTGATCCCAAACTTCGATCCACTTCATCGCTTCCTTCGTTCCGATCCTCTTCACCGTCACTGCTAAACGTCCTCATCACTGATTAATTTTGTTAGGTTTCACGGAGGCACTTGATTCCGTGGTTCCGCACTTGAATTTTAGTGTAGTTTATTATTTTTCACTTCATATTCTGAACGGAATGAGGACTATGAAATTCGACGGTTGATCAATTTATGTGGAAATGGTTTAATTTGTTGTTGGTTACATGGGAACAGTACGTGAAATTCTGTTGAATTTGGTACAATTTTCGCTGTATTTAATCGCTCTTAATTCATCGTGATGCTGTTCGTCATTTGTGCGCAACCTGTTTAAACTGCAGTTTCTTCTTTGCAATCTGCAGATTGGTTTAATGTTTGCTTGTAAGAGTCTGCACATTTTTAGACCGCCGAAAGTGGATAAACATATGTTTATATCTGAAAACCTAAGGGTTAAGGCTAAATGTGACTATGGAATTTACTGTGTGAACTTTAGTACTTTGTTATATAGTTGGATACTTCCTTTCAACTGAATCATATCGCATCTGATGTTGTTTTATTGGCGTTTTGTTCTTCTCAGGCTGTTGATTGGTTTTGAGGAGAAAAATTATATATTGTTCGCACATCTGTTGCTGAATAAAAAAAAGGGACGGGTGTTTTTCAGCACAGGGATGACTTTTGGCTTGACGTTTTGAAATTCATGCAATGTCGAGCTTACTTAATGTAATTACTTTTCTCCTGCAAAGCAAGAGGCTATGTTCGATAGTCTATCTTGGGCTTTACTTGGTTTGCATTGTCATAGGTCACCAAGTTGTTATAATTGGGAGTTTTTTATTCATCTTCATTGAATATGTGGCTAATATGATGGGGTGTGTGTGATTATTTTCTTAGCCATCAATTATTAGTTTGAAGTTCTGGCTTGTATATATTGATTACATCAAGTTTAGTCTCCTTCTCATTTCTGATCCTTGATCTTTGGTACACGATGTTCACACACACGATTGTATGATTCGAATTGTTTAGGAAATTACAGAGTGACTTCTAGGCTGAAATATGCTGTTAAACATCAATGTGGCATGTTATAGGATTATTGTGCTTCACATTGATGCGTGTATTAGAATGTTTTTGGTCATTAGAATGTTTCACGAACATTGATAAATCACAACTTGGATATTTAAGATTATTTATATCTGAGAATCAAAGTAGCATCAATTCAAATATTAACTTATTTCGATAGAGCAGAATCTGCGTGATGCAGAACAATGGACCTAGCGCCTCCTTTGACTTCAACAATAAGTTGGGAGTACCACTATAGGGCCAGAGTCTGACAAGGATTTCAGATGCTCTATGAGGGAAAGGACATATCAAATATGTATACTTCATTTTCATGTGAAACATACTTTGTCCAGTTTTTTATATATAGATATTTAGGCATCCAAAGTGTATTTGTAACTAAAGATAAATTTTTTCTAGATAACTCCTAATAAAATAAAAACTAAAACTAGTGTACCCCAATGCCAAAAGGTTTCTCACTACCTTAAGTTTTGAGCAAAGGGTCATTGTAAGTTGTCTCCCCCTTGCATATGAAAACTGTTTCCAGATTTGAACTGATGACCATGGGTCATGAAGACACATCTTCACTGTTTGTGCCAGGGCTCACCGTTTAGTAGGAAATCCTTTCCTTTTATATATGTATTTCTTATTGAATCCAAGTAGGAAATCTTATCATGATAATGTTTTCCCAAGTACCTATAATTAGTTTTAAATTACTCTTTGGTCCCTATAATACTATGTTATTTTCGTTTTGTTTATCTTTATATTTTTTCCTGATGTTGTCCCAATTGTTTGTTTGTTTCATTTTAGTCCCTGATGCTTGTTTCAGTCCTTATAAAATTATAAACTTCTAATATAGGTCTCTCTTATATTAGAAAATTTACCTTTTAGAAACATGGGGCCTGTTTTTCAGGGACCAGGACCAAAATTAAACAAAAATTATTTTTCATGTTGTCACTTAACAGGGACAGGGAACAAAAAGAAACATTTTTTTATACGGACCAAGACAGGGAAATTTTTAAGTTTGAGCATAATCAACCCTATATAATAGGTACTAAAACGTTGTTACATAATAATCTTTAAATATGTTTCTGTTTTCTGCAAGTAGAGCATCTAGGCATAGGGAAGACTCAGTGTCTATGTGTGTATATAATGATTGGCAGTCAAATTTATATTACCTTAAACTGAACATTTAATCCTTGCTAAATGTTGCCAGCTACTTGGACTCAATCAATGTTGTAAATAGCGTGGCATTTTTCAACCCCTCTGTCATAGGCAATTTGTGAAGAGAGGCCCACTATGGCAGCATCATAGGCTGCAATGGTGTTTTTATATGATGGAATTTTGGCCTTATGTCATATTCTGCTATCCGCCATTGATAATCTTGGATTCATTATATTTACACTTTATACTTTTTATATGAATGCTAACCATCCTGTGTGTGCAATTTACTGGAAGTTGCCACTTTATGAATGGTTAGCACTTAGTTGACTGTCATGCAAATATATTGAAAAGTAAAATTCCTGTCTCTTGTTCAATTTTTCATACCTTATGCATGTTGAATATGGATAGAATGAACAAACCTTTTTTGTAATTCTCATATTATTATTGTTATTGTTGTTGTTTCATATAAGATATTGATTTCCATTGCTGGAACGAATCTATATTCAAAGTAAATTTTAACATAGTTCTGTTTGCAGTCTTCTCTGAACGGGTCTGCTTCAAATCTTCCAGATGGTGCTGCAGGGCGTTCCTTTGCTACGTCATTTTCTGGTCAGTCTGGTGTAGTCTCCCCAGTTTTTCATCACTCTGGTGGGAAAATTTTGCTAGAGTCAATATTTTTTCTTCTCTCCTTTGGTTATATAATTGTCAGGTTCTTGCTGCAGGTTCTATTCAGGGATTGCACAACGTTCATGGGAGCTTTAATGTACCCAATATGCCCAGTTCACTTACATCAAGAAACTCAACAATAAATAGTGGTCCAACTGGGGGAGTAGTTCAACAACCTTCAGCAAGCCTTTCAAGTGGAAGATTTGCATCAAATAATCTACCCGTTGCTTTGTCACAGGTAAATGCATTTGTGTTTGAACATCTTGAGAATAATGCCTGCAGTTCTGAGCATATTGTTGTTCTGTCATTTCTTTTCTGTTGTTGTATATTGAATGTTTTCATTTGTTTATACATTTTTATTTGCAGCTATCTCATGGAAGCTCCCATGGACATTCAGGAGTCAACAGTAGAGGAGGTATAAGTGTTATAGGAAATCCTGGATTTAATAGTAGCACAAATGGAGTTGCCGGTCCTATTCCTGGGATTCTTCCAACTTCTGCTGCAATTGGTAACCGAAATGCTGTTCCAGGATTGGGAGTATCCCCAATTTTGGGCAATGCAGGTGCTCGAATCACAAGTTCGATGGGAAACATGGTTGGTGGGGGCAACATTGGGAGGATAAGCTCTGGAGGAATGTCTGTTCCTGGTCTTGCTTCTCGTCTAAATTTAGGTGGAAACACTGGATCTGGTGCTCTAGGCGTGCAAGGACAGAATAGATTGATGAGTGGTGTTCTTCCGCAAGGTATGTTTAGTAGTCACTAGAGCATTGAAGTGATATGTAAATATTTATTATTAAGAAATGCCTGACTGTTTTGAGATTTGCTTCAATAGGGTTAGAATTTTGATATGAAAGCAATGCAAACTGTGTATATAAATATTTCTTTTTTAGCTATAGAATTACTTTGTATCCAGCAAAATTTATTGTTACCCACTCTTTTAAGAATGAATTTTTCATATTCTAATTTGGTTATCTTGAACACAATTTTCATTGTATCATCTTTATAGCATTAGACATAGGCATGCCAACGTGGTGGGGGCAGATTTTGCCTCCTCGACCCCGCCTAAGACTTTTTTAACTGTCTTTGTGCTATCCGATCTATATCGGGATTAAAAATTAAGTTTTCATCTCCGTTTCAGGTTAGGTTTCGGTTCCCCATCTCCAACCTGTCCTCTTTCAAAAAAAAAAGTTATACTTATAGTAAATTAATTTTAATATTTTTATGTATTTTTTTATACATAAATAACATTTATAAGTTTACAATTTTTAATTATTATTATTAATTACTTTAACTTATTATATTTATATTAAAATATGTATGTAAAATAAATATTTAATTATTTTTTCTTTATATGGATATAAAATACTTATAACATTATTATTATTACTATTATTATTATTATATTATAGTCAAATATTTGATTACATGTATAAGTTATTTATTTTTTAGTATCATTTTAAAATGTTAATAAATATAAAATATATAGTTTATAAGAAAATATTCAATAAGTTAATTCTTATTTAATTAGTTTAAAGCAATAAAAGTTTTAATCATCAATTATTTTTAATCCTTCAAAATATAATTTTTTTATTAAGATAAAATTTGATATATGACAAATAGCAATAATAAAATCCAAAAAATAAGACATAGTAAAATCTAATAAAGATAAACTAGAAATAGAATAATATTAGTTACTACTAAGATTGATGTAGAATATTTAGAAAAAGATAAAGAAGAAAAATTATCTTTGTGTTTGTTAAATTGGTTGAAGAGATTGGAAAACCAAATTGATTGAAGGAATTAAGGTAATGAGAAGAAACGAAAAGTAAGAGAAAAAAAATAATTTTAAGAGTTTGAAAAGGACAAAAGAGTGAAAAATGGATAGAAGAAAAGTAAAGAGGGTGAAATATAGAAAAATGATCTTATATATAATGTGAGAAAGAAAATGAAATATTTTAAAAAGATTAATATTTTTAGATTTAAATTTAAATATAAAGTCGGGATGGAGGTAGGGGTGGGGTGGGGATTGCATTATCCATTCTCGCTCTCGTCCTCGACTTTTTAAACTGTGGAAAACCCGATCCTACCTGTCAACTCAGTTTTTTTCCGTCAAATTCAAGACGAGAATAGATCGGTCTCCGCGGGTATGAATTTAATTATCATTCCTAATTAGATGAGTTGTTTGAGTTGAGCCCCTTAAAATTAGTCATTTTTAACTGTTAAGGTTCCAACATAAAACCAATTGGCAATATGTGGAGTAGCCTAACATGTATTTAAACCATACCAAATGACATGAGGTAGGCGATGTGAGACTTTCAACACACCCCCTCCAACGAAGCCCGCCGGACCAGGCAAAGGGTACTTTTGACCCAACTAAAGGGCAACTTTTGGCCCATGACAATAACCGGAAAGATGTTAGGCTTTGGCTCTGATACCATGTTAAGGTTCCAACATAAAACCAATTGGCAATATGTGGAGTAGCCTAACATGTATTTAAACCATACCAAATGACATGAGGTAGGCGATGTGAGACTTTCAACATTAACATTCATTAGTCAACACAATGTTTCCTCAGCTTGATCATTGGACATTTTTTTCTTACATTATTTTCTTTGAAAATTAATTTCATTTATGTATGACTTATAAAGGGTTAAAGAATAGTCTCTGCTCCAACCCCTCCAGTTTTATTCACTGGAACAATGAAATGGAGAATTTTTTTAATCAAATACTTTTTCCTTCCTTTTTAATTGTTATATTTTTATTTCTTCCTATATTTTGAAAAGTGAACTACGGTGTTGTCATTGGTGCACAGAGGTTGGTCCAACTGCCCTGATGTTATCTCTTTGACCTGTGGATGGTTGTATGGTGGCCATTACGAAGCAAGGAGGCTAGTAAACAAAAGGCACCCATAATTTCACTAGAATAAGTAGTATAAATCAGGGCAAGTGTAGTAGTATCCATTATTTTCATCATTATTCTGCATCTGATTGGTGTCATTGTGCTGCTTTGTTGAAGACACTATTCCTCGGGGTTTATAATATAGGAAACACCCCTCTTCTGACACCTCTTCGACCTTTGTTTGACATGTGTGTCAGTTACTTCCCATTAAATATCCAGTGAAACAAGGACACTTGAGGTGACACGTCAATATGAATTGTCTCACAAATATTATTATTAAAAATAATTAAACTTTTAATTTCTAGAGAAATCAACTCAAAATATAATATAAAATATTGAAAAGTAAAGCCTCTCACATTTTGTGAGCCTTGTTATCGTAGAAAAACTTAGAATTAGAGTATGAAACACCTTTCTCAATAGATAGAACTTCATATTCTTATTTCAGGGTATTTTTTTAAGTGACAAAGTTCTTCCACTGTATAATATCTCTAATTATTCGTTTGCAAGACCCATTATAAGAAAAAGGTGAATATTATGAATTTACTTTTTTTGTTATGTTACTCATATTTCTTTTCATAGTCTGTTTCTATGTATATATCTGTAGTGTCCTATATTTTTTACATTGGCCATGTTAGAGTGTCTGGTGTTTGTGTAGTAGTCTGTGCTTCATAGGTTGTTCAGCTACTGCTCTTCTGCCAAATTATATAGATTGTGTTGCTGTGGTTTCTGAATGTCATGTACTAGAGATAGAGATACGTGTTCAAGAACTGTTTCTTTTTGAGATTTATATGAATAGATGGATTTAATCATTTATTTTGTTTGACGAATATTAGCTATTTAATTCCCTTTAATATTGAGCTTATTTGATGTGTAGTTTTTTAATTGTGTTACTTTGTAGTGACAACCACTTTTTGATTCAGGATCTCCACAGGTAATTTCAATGCTAGGAAATTCATATCCTAGTGCTGGAGGTCCGCTTTCACAAAGCCATGTTCAAACAGTAAATAACTTGAACTCTATGGGGATGCTGAATGATGTGAATTCTGGTGACAGTTCACCTTTTGATATCAATGACTTCCCTCAACTGAGTACTCGTCCTAGTTCTGCTGGTGGGCCTCAAGGACAGTTGGGTGTGTGAAAGAAAATGTTGTTTTGTTTGATACACTGTTCATCTTCTACAAAAAGGAATAATTTAAACTATAAATTTCAGGTTCTTTACGAAAACAGGGTCTTGGAGTTAGTCCCATTGTCCAACAAAACCAAGAGTTTAGCATTCAAAATGAAGACTTCCCAGCTTTACCAGGATTCAAAGGTGTTGTATTTGGTTAATATATGAGCTTATGCATCTCAGTTGGAAATTTAGCCAGCTTAATCATATTATTTATTTTATTTTCTTGTTTTGGAGATTTCAAGAAAAAAGCCTTATTTAACTAGGTGAAGTTAGCTATATGGATCACACAATTCCATCTATCTTGATTAAAGATCAAATCTTCAGAGATATTATTCACTATAAGATCTCTCTTAACAACTTCCTCAAATGTCCTTTTTGATCTCCTCCGTCCCTTCTTCATATGACTAAAAACCATACAATGTACTTGCCCTATTGGTGCTTTTAATGACCTTCTTTTACCTGTCAAAACACTCTTAACCAATATTCTGGCATCTTTCCCTCAATCGATGCATACTAATATTTTTACAATTACTTTGTTTCCTGTCCTTTACTTTATGACCACACATCCATTTTTAACATTCTCATTTGTTCTACTCATCTTTTCTCTTCTCTTCTCCTTAAAGTATAAAATTCATTATCAGAGTTATATAGGTAGACAAATAGTGGTAAATGTATAATAAAATTTATGCTGGATGTTTGCGTGTACATTTACTTTTTATGCGTAGCATAATTATGTTTTTGCAGGTTCTTAACATTATGAAGTCTATCCATGTGTTGTCCTTATGTTCTTCTGATTGATTTTTATAGGAATAAGGGCTCTTTGCTTTCTTTGTTTGGTATACATATCTGTGTGACCAGTCATTCATTTAGTCAAGAATGCTTTAATGATTCTGATTGTCTTGTTTGCATGTGATGAAATATTCTAATGATATTTAGTCTGCATTGATGAGTCTTTGATGGCTTGTTGGGAATCATGTCTTAGTAGTTGTCTGTGTGTGATGTCAGTTGGCTTCATAATTTGTTTTTGACAATGGTATTTGTACACAGGTGGTAATGCAGATTTTGCAATGGATATGTACCAGAAAGAACAACTTCATGATAATACTGTGTCAATGATGCAATCCCAGCATTTCTCTGTGAGTTTTATGTTGCAAAAAATTAAGTTGTCTTTTCCGTATGCATCTCCATGATGTGTATATAATATTATTAATGGATCAAAATCCATTCTCAATCTCCATTGCCTTTAATCTGCAGCAGATGGGGAGGTCTGCTGGTTTCAGCTTGGGGGGTTCATATCCTTCACATCGGACACAACAGCAACAGCAGCAGCATACCCCTTCAGTGAGTAGTAATGGTGTCTCCTTTTCATCTGTAAACAATCAAGATCTTCTCCATTTGCATGGAGCAGATATGTTTCCATCTTCACACTCAACTTATCATTCACAGGTCAGTAAGTTTTCTACTTCTGAAAATGAGTATTTTTATAATTAATTTGCACTGAAACATCTAAATAGGTGTAAGTGCCCATTTGAACTGAAATTCCGTATTCCCACCAATGCATGTTCCTGACATTCTTGAGACATTGGTCTTTGGTTTAGACCAGTGGACCTCCTGGGATTGGACTAAGGCCTCTAAATTCTCCAAATACTGGTATGGGTTCATATGACCAGCTTATCCAGCAGTATCAACAGCAGCAGAACCAGTCCCAGTTCCGCCTTCAGCAAATGTCAGCTGGAAATCAGTCTTTTAGGGATCAGGGAATGAAGTCTATGCAAACTGCACAATCTAGTCCAGATCCATTTGGTGCACTTGGTTTGTTCAGTGTAGTCCATATAAGTGATCCGGACCTGAAATATCTTGCTCATGGGATTGATCTTACAACACTTGGGTTGAATTTGAATTCATCAGAAAATCTTTACAAGACTTTTCGATCTCCGTGGTCTGATGAACCAGCCAAGGGTGATCCAGAGTTCAGTGTATTACAATGTTATTATGCTAAACAACCGCCTGCTCTACATGTGAGTGTTCTTTATATTTCTTTATAATGTCATTGACTTTAGCTCTTTTGTGATGTATTGAGGCCGAGTCTTTTTGTGTTATGCAGCAAGGTTATTTTTTGAAGTTTTCGGTGGAAACATTGTTTTACATATTTTACAGGTGCTTTTTGGAAACTGATCTTGTTTGCATTCACATATGACATGCTTGATATTGTAATCAAGGAAAATTGTTCTTTTATTGCAGCATGCCCAAGGATGAAGCTCAACTGTATGCAGCAAATGAACTGTATGTATTCACACTCTTGCAACCTTTTTGTTTGGTGTTGTTTTGGCGATTTAGTCGTGGTTCTGAATTACTTTAGGATTACTACATTTCAGGATTTTTGGCAACCCTATTTTCAATTTGACGAGTATTTGAAAACTGCTAATCATTCTTCAATATGAATAATCTGGAATTAGATTTATTTTTTCTGGAGTATTTAAATTGTTATTCTGTGTGTGCTTAGTTTTATTGGAGCAAGAATTATTAATAAGGTAGGGTTGATGCTTACAGTTACAAACGAGGTTGGTTTTATCATAAAGAGCACCGTTTATGGTTTATAAGAGTTGCCAACATGGAGCCGCTTGTCAAAACAAATACATACGAGAGAGGATCTTACCACTGTTTTGATCCAAACTCCTTTGAAACAGTCCGGAAGGTTTGTTTTTGTACACTTGTATCTGCATGAGTGATCACGGTCGCATGCATGCACCCAAAGTTATAAATTATTATTTTTTTTGGGTATAATTTGATGTCGTTTGGCCTCTAACGCGACTGCCTTCTTGCAGGATAATTTTGTTCTTCACTATGAATTGGTGGAGAAGAGACCGTCTTTGCCTCAACATTGAGGTAGAAAATAGAAAACCTTAAATGTAAAGTTTTTACGTATTAATTTAATTTGTAGGACGTAAGTCATTTCTCGTCATTAGTGATCCTTCAATCTTCGTTTATCTTACATGCCCTTAAATCTTGATGCACTAGAGATGCTACCCTTTTTCCCTCCAGCCATAATATAGTAGTTAAAATACTAGACGTTAGGATAACCTGGCAATCTGAAAGTGGCAGATATGGATGGCCCAATGCACAGAGAAATGCACCCGACCCGAATAGATGGGATGCGGTGTCTAGTAGTTCTTTACAACGTACATAAAAGGGGATCACTTTCTAAAGATAAAATTGAAAAACATTAGTTTTGTTAAAAAATGACTCTTCTGGTCAATTATTAATATGCTGCTTTACCTATGCTTCTATATTCCACTTTAGGAGAATATTGGAAGTAGTATGGGTTTATCTTATTAAAAGTTTTTCACTTGTGGCTTTTTAATTTTTAATATATTTTTCAATAATAGTGCTTTGAAAATAATTGTTTACAGTTTGACTAGCATAAAAAAGCTAAATCTTAATGAAAAAGCAACACCACTCAACAAAAATACCCCCGCCTGATGTGTGCTTCAACTGCAAAGCTGGTGTTACTCTGATGATTTTATTGTTCATTTTATATAACTTTTTTTTGTCATTTTTCATAATATTTTGGAGCAAATGAACCATTAAAAATGGTAACAACTAAAAAAGTTTTATATATACATTATCTTTTCTCACTGTTCATTGATTAAATTTTCATTTATTTACTCAATTTTTCTTAATAGTGGAAATACAAAAAATCCTACAATGATGTTAAGTAACTTGAAGAATTTTCAATGTATTTAACTTGTTTACTATTCGTTTAAAATAAAAGAAAGTTGAATTACTTAGAAACTTAACCTGCCCTAAATAAATTTAACTGAATTCGAAAAAAAAAATGGAATGAAACTCAAAATTTATTTCTATTTCACATACTGTTAATAAAAATATTATTTGTTATTTATTAATAAAAATACTCAGTGAAACATTTTAAGATAATTAGTGCTGATAAAGAAATATATTATATGTATTAGATATAATTATTTGTGATGAAATATTTATATTATCAATATATTCTTATTATATATTGTTTCATGACTAAAACAAAATTATTTCTATATCCATAGATATAATTATTTTATACTCCAAATTTATCACATTCAAAACTTCAAAGTTATTTTTAAAAAATATTATAATTTATTTTATAATTTAAATGTTTATATAAGATATATATTCTTTACATCATCATCTATCTTCAAATATAAAATTAGATATTTATAAATAATTCAATAACAATTCAATAGATCCGATAAATTTATCAAAACAAAATTTTATTTATTAAATAATTTAATGTTATTTATATGAGAAGACAGTTTATAAAAATAAAATTCATAATTATTTATAATTTAATTATATTTATTTCAATTTACCATCTTAAATTTTAATTTAAAATAATCGAATAAGTGAGGGTCCACTTATAAACTTTAGAATTGCCAACTGTCAAGCATAAAGAGGCACAAGAGTCCTAAGAAAAACATTAATGAATGTGACTTCAACTTCCCCAAATAAACCTTCATCAAGGCGTTTTTATTTTGCTGGCTAACACTTTTTATTTTTTCTTAAATGGAATATTATTATTTATTTTAAAGCTTGTTATAATTTGAATTATCAAAATTTATAATTAAAAGTATATTTATTTATTCATTTATTTCAAATTTTTACATGGTTTTAAATATTAAATATATTCTCTCTATATTATTATTATTATTATTTATCAAAAGACTCCACTGAGATTCTCAGGGAGAAAGATGGTTTGACTTTGATGTGAAGAAGAGTTTAAAGATAGATGTATCGTTATCTGATTTTATATTGTAAATTTATTAAAAAATAACTTAAACATAATTTTAAGTAGTTATTAAAATCCTTTTATTACGTATATTAATTCATGATTGGACGATATTATAAAAATATTTTTCAATTTTATGGTATTTCAATTTGCTTTTATTTAAATTTAACCTAACGTGTTTTAATTAGTTTTTGGAATTATACAAAATTATATGAATTATGTGGGTTAACCTTTATTAATGACACAGACATTCCTTACATAAACTAAATTGACTAATTAAGATGGTGACATTTATTCATACATTAATAGCTACAATCAATTTCTACCTGAGTTCAAACTCGTTTCCCACATTATATATTTTTTTCCTTTGTCAATTTTAACATTTTTATTTTTTATCTTTTCAATTTTAGGATTATAATCATTTTTATTAAAATATATTTCGATATTTTTTTTAGTCTATTTAGAATTTTAAACTTATTTTAAAAACTTAATATAAATATTTCTAACATTAATTTTTATCAATAATTGAATGAATTTGTAAGAATTATATTTTCATATAGTCATCATTTGCACAAAACATAATTTTTGGATATGAAAATATAATTTCTAAGCTTTATTTTGTAGAGAAGATTAGAAATGATGGTTTGGTTTGCTTGAGTTTATTTGAAATAATTTATGAGAAAAGTTTTGTAAACATTATTATATAGAGAAATTATAGAAAATCACGTTAATTTATGTGGCTTACAAGTAAAATGACATCATAACCCATAATTTGTATTACTTTACTTTTTATTTACTTTTGTTTCTCGATTTATCTAAATAATTTTACTTTATTGACTTGTAATTTCGAATTCATTAGTAACCCGCCTTACGTATACATGACGTATTGATTACATTCATTGAAAACAGAAAATGATTACATTCATTGTTAACAATTTTTATATATTAAACGCTGATCAGAACATAAAGAAAACATGTTTATAGTTTCTTTTGGTTGTTTAATTTTGTCAGGCCACTCAATCGCTGTATCCAAATGGTAGTGATTGCTTTAACTGTAAAAAAGCTCCATTTCAGCGACAATCAGGTCGAAGTTGGATGATATGTTATTCTATGGAATGGATTAATTCAACTATATATGCTTTGTTTTTTCGTCAGTTTCACTTCCCATTTTCATTCTTTTCGTCATGTTCCTATTATGATTTATTTAGTACGTTATGAACATTAGCCACTTCTTGTTCTTTAGATACACATTTAGAAGTTCCAATTTAGTTGGATATAGTTCCATTTGGCCCAGTGCTTTTAAATTGAAAAGCGACAAAAAAACAACAGCTAAATGGGAACATGGTGAGAAAGTTGGTTGTATTCTAAATTGCATACATTTTCTTATAATACTCACTGTTTAGTAGCTCAGAATCTGAAAAGGCCGACACTGACAGAGACTTTGACCTGCTCTGCAATGACGATTTCCGAATGCTCCTCAAATTTGAGGTCTCGATGCGATGCCTAACGACCCAGTAACACATAGTCCCCAAGGTCGTAGCCATGATGGTTGTTCCTATAACGGTCACTCCTATGGCCAACCACCTCTCTTCCTTCCCCACCACTACAAATGACAGTGCCAAGAATGCCACCGAAATAAGAACACAAGCCAGCCACATTAGCTTGTTTATCACGGCCATCATCTGCTTCTTTGCTTTGCTCTCTATAACCACAACCGAGGTTTGCACCACCACCACCGCCAAAGAGATAAACAGTGCAACGGAATCAAACACAAAGAAAATTATGAAAGGGAGTTCTGGGGCTATGTTTGCCTCACCAAGGGACATCCCTGGAGGAACGTTACGTGGGTCATCAACGAATTGGCCAGGGACAGTGAAAATAGCTGCAAAAGCCACAGTGGCAATTAGGACTGCCACCACGGTTGTAGAGTTTATTGCATTGTTGAGACCTTCGGCATGCATTTTGTTAACACGTTTGGCAATACCTTGAACCCGTTTTCTGGTTTGACGTGTGTGTTCCAACTGGTGGTGGACCTCGTTCTTTATGTCACTCACCGTTTGTTTCAACTCACGTGCTGTATTTGCCGTTGTGCCCTGAGGGGGCTTTATGGTCCTCGCACTCTGAACACCGTGTTCAAGAAGAATGGCTTTCACATCATTGTGCCCCGTTTTCTCAGCAGTGTCTAATGCTGTTTCCCCACACCTGTTCACTGCACTTGTAATCGCTGCTTTCTGTTCTAACAGCAAATTCACAATCTGCACAAACAAGTTAATTGAGATAACATATGTTGGCCTATAAACATAAATCTTACAGAAAGTTTTAACGGAAACTATGGCAAGCATGGCCTGCTTTACCTTACTCCTTCCCTTCCTAGTTGCTATATGTAATGGTGTGTTTCCCTTACTGTCAACCATGTTTATTGATGATGGATCTGCTTTTATCAACTCCTCCACCACCTCAACCTTCTGCCCCTTCACTGCCATGTGAAGTGCTGTCTGGCCCTTCTTATCAGTCCGCGTGGTAACCACTGGCTCCTTCTCAAGAAGTGCTTTCACAACCTCCACATGTCCATTTCTTGCAGCAGAATGCAGAGCTGTTTTCCCATTACTTCTAGCAATGGTTGCCAGACTACTCCCTGCTTCCAATAGAAACTTCACTACCTCAGTGTGCCCTTGCATTGCGGCTGTGTGCAAAGCTGTGGTGTTGGATGGATCCACAGTCATTGACAACTCAGGATGACTTTCCATGAGAATCTTCATTACATCTACGACAGGCAAAGATAAAGTGGGTTTCCTCTTAAATCAAACAAGCAGATAATGTATAAAACCTAACCATCCACATTACCTAAATCCCCTTGTTTGGCAGCAATGTGCAATGCATCAAAACCATTTCTAGCTTTAATTCCAGCATCAGCAAGATCATAATACTGAATCATCTCCCTAACTGCATCAACGTAACCATATTCAGCAGCAACATAAAGGGGCGTTTCTCCATCTTGATTCTGCTTGGCTAATAATTCATGCAATTCAGCCTCATTAGTTCCCGAAATGGCATTCTTCAGCACAGCCAAATTCCCTGCTCTTACTGCAGAATGCAAAGGTGTATCATCCCTTTTTCCAGTCAATTGTTTTGTCATTTTTTTCCAATGGGTGTTTATTGGCTGCAATGCTGGTGTTTCCATATTGGCTTCTTCACCTGCCAATCAAATTCTACTCTTTTGATGCCTAATTATTAATTAGTATATCAACAAAACCTTATCTCCTTCGTTGCTCCAAAATCCCAGATCAAAGCTAGCCTCTTCCATTCCACAACAACTCAACGGGGAGTATCATCCCAATCATTGTCAAATATCTTTTTTTTTTTATTAATTTTTTATCTCTTCTATCTTTCAAAAAAGTTGGATATTTCTCTTCTTCCTGTGTCTGTTAAAAAAAAAAAATACTGGGTTAAAAACATTGTACCTATATACCTTTTCCTATTGCATTATCATTGTGTTTAAAGCAACCCACACCCCATAATTTGGAAAAATAGCACAAATGAAAAAAAAAAAAAAAAACAGTTATTGCTTGGTTGAAGCATTCCTCAAATCATTATTTATGTGAAAGAAAGAAAAAAAAAAGTTGAAAATGAAATTACCTGGGCTTGAAGGAAGAAGCACGACCCTCGGCGGGAAAGCCATGGAAATGTGAGATTTGAGGGAAGGTTTCAGGAAGGCATGAGCTTGTTGGAAGCACACTTTGTAAGGAACATTAATTCAGGACATGATATTTGTATTTGTATATATAATAATGATGTGTGTGCAAAAGTTGTATGAGAAAGTAAATAAATATTATGTAGGAAGATACAATGATATTAGAAGCAATGGGATAGCATGGATTAAGAAATGAAAGATGAAAGGCACATGTAAGGACCAGTATATAAAAACAACTTTGTGGCAATCTAAACAACAGGCAAATCCTCATACACGCATCAAGCAACTTTTGCAAACGTTGTGATGATGTCGGATTCGACCAGAAACTGAATAGAAAATAAAATAGAATAAAACATTTGTTTTCGAGAATCAAATATATCTTAGCCATGGAAGGAACATAAGGGAGAGAGAGGGGGGGTTAAACCTAAAAGTGGTGGCCAATGAAAAAAAACGGAAATAACAGAACCACGCGCAATTGGATTTCTGGTGGCTCCAGTGAACAAAGCTCCGGTCAGACAACTTTATCTGTAATCACTTTTAGAAAAGAAAAAAAAAATCCAAGTTGAAATTAGTTTATATACAAATGAAAAAAAAATTGGATGAATATTTTTTTATAAAAAATAAGTTAATTAAATATTTTATATATTTTTTTTCTCTTTTAGAAGTAGTTAAAATTGATGTAAATATAGCCGTTGTTAACTCTTAATGCAACTATACAAACATAATCTTATAATTAGTTTCATACTATCCTTTAAAAACACACATTGTTACTATGAAAAGTTTTGAAGATCAATGTTGGTTGGATTTATGAAAGATCCAGTAGCTATACTGTTAATTAATGTGGATTTTTGTTATCTTAAGGTGTAAGTTATTTTATTAGTTTTTCTTTAACAATTGTTTCTTCTATGGCATTTGATTGATTTATTACTATGCTCGAGAATGTTTATGCAAAGTTTTGTAGTGAAGAAGTTTCTTTCTATGTTATGCAGTTGCAACATATTTTGTTTGCAATCACAACTTTTTTCTTTTTTTCTTCTGCCTTTGATATTTTGTCATGTTGTTTCTTCTAGTGGGTAACCAACCAACCCATGCTTTGGACAAAAAAAGTAGACAGAAACTAAATTAATTTTGTTTTTACCTTGTATTTGCAAATTATTCTGCTGAAATATTTTTAAATGGAGATTAATTAATCAGTTAAATGGAAAGATATAAGTACAATTAGATATCAATAATTTAAGAATGATTTTTTAAACATATAGTGCAAATTGTTAAGAAAATTAGTATGACTAAGTTCTTTTGTTCTTGAGAAATTGTGTCATATGAAATAATAGAAAAATTTAAAGATTAAATGAATATATCGTTTTATATTAAATGACATTAATTTCATAATTCTTGAGAGATGTGATGCAAGTAGCAGACCCACGTCGTTCTTGATGGTCACCCTGACATGAAACTATTACTTTTTGGCATGTTATTGTCTCAAACAGTAAAATAATGAATATTAATAAAATATTTTTTTAAAACATATTAATCTTTAGGTACTATTTTTAAAATATAATTAAGTATTTATATATTTGAATTAATGTATTGTTTAATAATAATGTACTTAGGTTGAATTACATGTTAATAGTAACAGTATGAAAAATTATCAAACAAAATAATAAATGAAAAAAATATATTTTAATATATTTAAGTTTAAAAATTAATTTCACACCTAGTGTATATTTTAATACCAAATATATTTATAATGATAATATATTTAAGTCAATTCTCGTATATTATAATGATAATAATATTATTAAGTGAATTTTTATATTTAAAAAATATTATTCGATTTAAAAAAATTTATTATTATTTTATCTTTAAAATATATCTAGATAGATTAAAAAAAGAACGTATATATATCCTTAATTTTAACTTCTAAACAACATGGGAGTGATTAATATATTGGAACAAGAACAATTAAAAAATTTATTATTTTTTTATTTCACTTTATCTATAAATTTTGTACTTAAAATCATTTTAAACTTATTTATCCAAAATTCTTTAAGTTTTTCCTCCTTATAATCTTGTTACTATGATTTTTTTTTCATTTTATTTAACTTTTTTTTTGTCATTTTTCGTAATATTTTAGAACAAATGAACCATTAAAAATGGAAACAGCTAAAAAGTTTTTATATGTACATTATCTTTTCTACCTGTACATTTATTTACTCAATTTTTCTTAACAGTGGAAATACAAAAAATCTTATAATGATGTTAAGTACCTTTGAATAATTTTCAATGTATTTAACTTGTTTATTATCATTTAAAATAAAATAAAGTTGGAAGGGAGTTCTACTGGGAATTAATTAAGAATGAAAATAAATATTTTATTGTATATGCTTAAAAACAACAAAAATTATTTAAAATTAAAAAAAAATTGTATAAAAATAGAAAAAATTATTTAAAATTGGAAAAAAGTTATTTATATAAATAATTTTAACCAAATTTTAAGTAATATTGGATTCATAATAAAATATTTAATTTTATTCTTAAATAATTCTGGTTAAAAATTCTAAGTAATTTTTATAAACTTAACCTGTCCTAAATAAATTTGACTGAATTCAAGAAAAAAACATTTGGAATGAAACTCAGAATTTTTCTATTTCACATACTATTAGTAAAAATATTATTTGTGTTAATAAAAATACTCCATGAAACATTTTTAGATAATTAGTGCTGATAAAGAAATATATTATATTTATTAGATATAACTATTTGTGATGAAATATTTATATTATCAATATGTTTTTATTATATATTGTTTCATGACTTAAAACAAAATTATTTCTATACCCGTAGATATAATTATTTTATACTCCAAATTCATCACATTCAAAACTTCAAGATTATTTTTAAAAAATATAATTTATTTTAAATTTAAATATTTATATAAGATATATATTCTTTACATCATCATCTATCTTCAAATATAAAATTAGATATTTATAAATAATTCAATAACAATTCAATAGATCCGATAAATTTATCAAAAAAATATATTTATTAAATAATTTAATGTTATTTAATATGAGAAGACAGTTTATAAAAATAAAATTTATAATTATTTATAATTTAATTATATTTATTTCAATTTACTATCTTTAATATTAATTTAAAATAATAGAATAAGTGAGGTCAACTTATACACTTTAGAATTGCCAAGTGTCAAGCATAAGGAGGCACTAAGAGTCCTAAGAAAAACAAATGAATGTGACTTCAACTTCCTCAAATAAACCTTCATCAACGCGTTTTTATTTTGCTGGCTAACACTTTTTTTTTGTTTAAATGGGATATTATTATTTATTTTAAAGCTTGTTATAATTTGAATTATCAAAATTTATAATTAAAAGTATATTTATTTATTTATTTCAAACTTTTTACACGGTTTTAAATATAAAATATATTCTCTCTCCGTACATATACACTTTTATTTTTATTTGTCAAAAGACTCCACTGAGATTCCTCAAGGAGAAAGATAGTTTGACTTTGATGTCAAGAAGAGTTTAAAGATAGATGTATCATTATCTGATTTTATATTGTAAATTTATTAAAAAATAATTTAAACATAATTTTAAATAGTTATTAAAATACATTTATTACGTATATTAATTCATGATTGGACGATATTATAAAAATATTTTTCAATATTATGTCATTTCAATTTTCTTTTTTTTTTAAATTTAACCTAACGTGTTTTAATTAGTTTTTGGAATTATAGAAAATTATATGAATTGTGTGGGTTAACCTTTATTAATGACATAAACTTTTTATAAATAAAACATTTTATATTTTTTAATTAGGTGAATAATTAATTTACTATAAAAGTATAATTTAAATTTATTATTATTATTATTATTATTATTATTATTATAAAATCATTTACTTCCATCGTAATTTTAAATAACAAATTGATGTTTTATTTATTTTTGGTATTAATATTTATATTTTATTAGTTTTAATATTAATTTTAAAAAAATACTTTTAATATATTTTATTAAATTTTATGCGTTATTTATTGATTAATTAAGATGGCTACATTAATAGCTACAATTAATTTATACCTGATTTCAAACTCGTTTTCCACTTATTTTTTTTTCCTTTGTCAATTTTAACATTTTCATTTATTATCTTTTCAGTTTTAGGATTATAATCATTTTTATTAAAATATATTTTGATACTTTTTTTAGTCTATTTACAATTTTAAACTTATTTTTAAAAACCTAATGTAAATATTTCTAACATTAATTTTGATCAATAAAATAAATTGAATGAATTTGTAAGAATTATATTTTCCCATAGTCATCACTTGCACAAAACATAATTTTTGGATATGAAAATATAATTTCTAAGCTTTGTTTTGTAGAGAAGATTAGAGATGGTTTGGTTTCCTTTAGTTTATTTGAAATAATTTATGAGAAAAGTTTTGTAAACATTATTATATTGAGAAATTTTAGAAAATCACGTTAATTTATGTGACATACAAGTAAAATGAGATCATAATAATTTATATTACTTTACTCTTTATTTACTTTTGTTTTTCTACTTATTTAAATAATTTTCTTTTTGGCTCAAAATAAACTTAATATCAATCTAAAATAATTGAGAAATAAATAAAATAAAATAAAATTATAATCTAAATTAAATTAGATTTATTTTAATTCCACTATTTAAGTTATAATTTATATAAATTTAATTCAGACTAATAAGGCTAATTTTAAAAAGTAATAATTATTTATTAAATAAAAATAAAACTAATATTAATTTATTAAAAAATATATATAATTTGATCAATAATTTATTTATTATAAAAATAAATATCTAAATAAAATTATTATAATAATAATTTATTTAAAGATTTAATAATTAAGATTGATTATTAATTTAAATTAATTTTTATTTTAAAATTAAATTAATTCATTCACTTATAATTTATATATTAAATTATTATATTTTAAATAAAAATTATTTTTATTAATAAAATTTAAAATTATATTTTTTAAATAAATTTTTTTTTAATTTAATTAGATCAAAATTGATCTATTAATCCTTATTTAAATACATTAAACTAAATTTTTTGATCGGTTTTAAAATATGAATCAAATCACGTGGTAAAAATTTGTTTAACCGATAGGACACTATTACAAAGCGCCCATTTTTACGGCTCTAATCGTTTTGTTCCACACCATAAAAACAAATTCAAAAGATTGATGGAGTATGAGAAACTTAAATTTTACGCGAAAAGATTAAGTTGGATTTTTTTTTAATTTTTTTTTCACTTTTGCATGTCAATGTCCTACAATTTGGCACTACAACAACCATATCAACACTTTCACACTGGAAGCACGACTTTCCCTTCTGTTATATTTACTTTAATTTCTATAGAAAAATAATAAAAAATTAAGAACCAAAATTGTCAAATAAATCCACTAGGATTTTTTTAAATGTTCATCGCTCCTTATTGATATTTTGTATAATTATTAATTAAAATTAAAATAGTTGTACTTTTTTTTCTTTTTTAATGCTCTGGAACATCTTACCTAAACTCAGACCTATCTCAATTTGTTTAATCTCTACTTGTAAAACACATGCCTACACCGAAAAACCTTGCAACAAACAACCCTTTCGTGTTCTGACCTTACCTCCACCATTTGTTCTTTCACCCGCTCTCGCTATTTTTTTTTTTATTTTTTTTATTTCGAAATAATAAACAAATGTGTGAATGAATGTGCCAATAGTTAAGGTTGTCATGGGGATAATTCCAGCTTGTGCTGAGCTAGATTTTTGCTGAAATGGAATTATTCTTCTCCTGTCAGTGTTTGTATTAAACTTTCTCTCAAAACACCAAAAAGGGTCACATCAGAATTTGGGTTTCTCTTTTCCTCCTCTACCTTGGTTCAAATAGTTTCTGCTGGAACTGTAAGAGTAATAACAAAGGTGCCATCTTCTTCTGTCTTTGTTATCCCCCTTATTTTCTTTGTGTTTGACTTGTGTGGTTTTCTGGTTGGTGAGGAGAGGATCACCGCTCTCTTTTCTGCTTGTACCATAATCTTTCTAGGGTTCAGTAGCTTAAGAGAGAGAAAATTGTAAGGAAAAATAATATCCCAGTGGTTTCCTTTCATTTGTAGATGCCACAATGATTGATTGGAGAAATATTGGTTTTTTTATCTGTGTTTTATCAATCTTCCCCCTTGTATGTTTTTCTGCCACCTTTGTTCCAGTAGATAATTATCTTATAGATTGTGGAGCATCTGCTAGTACTACAGTGGATAGGCGGAATTTCACAGCAGATAATTTGTCCAAAGATCTCCTTTCTACTCAAGAAGATATTCTTGCCACTGCCCCCTTAAAATCAATTAATTCTTCCTCCGATGATTCGCCTCTCTATCAAACTGCAAGAATCTTCACTGGATCCTCCAAGTACACCTTTACGATTAAGCAACAGGGGAGACACTGGATCCGTCTATATTTCTGTCCATTTACTTATGAGAAGTACAATTTGAGTGCTGCAAATTTCACTGTTTCCACCCAAGAACATGTCCTTTTCCGTAGCAGCTCCAACATGCAGAAAGATCCTGTGATGAAGGAGTACTCTCTGAATGTAACCTCAGACACCCTTGTTATCACCTTTGCCCCTTCTGGAAATTCCACCGCTTTTGTGAATGCAATTGAAGTTGTTTCTGCCCCTGATGACCTCATTGATGACGTTTTTTCCGCCTTAGATCCATCGACAACCTTATCTGGGTTGGTGACACAGACACTGGAGACAGTTTGGAGGGTTAACATGGGTGGTCCAACTGTGACCCCTATGAATGACACCCTTCAAAGAACTTGGATTCCAGATCAAAATTTCCTTTTGGAACCTAACCTTGCCTCGTTTGCTTCTAATATTGATGCTGTCAAGTATGAGCAAGGTGGGTCAACAACCGAAAACACCGCTCCGCCTACTGTTTATGGTACTCTTACACAGATGAACTCAACCTCTGATCCCCGAAATAATTTCAATGTGACATGGAAGTTTGATGTGAGTCCTGGATTTCAGTATCTTGTTCGATTTCACTTCTGTGATGTGATCAGTAAAATTCTCAATGTACTCTACTTCAATGTTTATGTTAACTCCGACATTGCTGCCTCTGATGTTGATCTCAGTGTTTATACTAATAATGTATTGGGTGTTGCATATCATAAGGATTTCGTTACAGCCTTGGCTGTCAACAGTACACTTCTTGTAAGTATTGGTCCTTCTGCTTTAACTAAGGCCTTGCCTAATGCTATTTTGAATGGACTGGAGATCATGAAAATAAACAATTCTATGGGCAGTCTTGTCACAGGAGCAGGACCTATGGCTATTGCTTCAGGTTCAAGTTCTAAGAGTATTGGCATGATTGTGGGTGTGATTATTGGTGTAGTTGGTGCAGTTGTCTTGGCTGGCGTTTTCTTTGTATTATGCATGAGAAGAAGAAAGTTGGTACGGCAAAGGCAGTCAAAGACATGGGTTCCTTTATCCATCAATGATGGAACTACTTCTCATACCATGGGAAGTAAATATTCCAATGGTACAACACTAAGTGCTGCTTCAAACTATGAGTATCGCGTGCCTTTTCTTGCAGTTCAGGAGGCTACAAACAACTTTGATGAGAGTTGGGTTATTGGGATAGGTGGTTTCGGTAAAGTGTACAAAGGAGAGTTAAGTGATGGCAGAAAAGTGGCAGTTAAGAGGGGGAATCCACGGTCCCAGCAGGGGCTTGCAGAATTCCAAACTGAAATTGAAATGCTGTCTCAGTTTCGCCATCGCCATCTGGTGTCTTTGATTGGTTATTGTGATGAAAGGAGTGAAATGATCTTGATATATGAATATATGGAGAAGGGAACTCTCAAGAGTCATTTATATGGTTCAGGTTTGCCTAGCTTGAGCTGGAAGGAGAGGCTTGAGATATGCATTGGATCAGCTAGAGGACTTCATTATCTTCACACTGGCTATGCTAAAGCTGTTATTCACCGAGATGTGAAGTCTGCAAATATCCTACTTGATGAGAACCTAATGGCTAAAGTAGCTGATTTTGGATTATCAAAGACGGGGCCTGAAATTGACCAGACACATGTGAGCACAGCTGTCAAAGGTAGTTTTGGGTACCTTGATCCAGAGTATTTCAGGAGGCAACAACTAACAGAAAAGTCGGATGTGTATTCATTTGGGGTAGTTCTGTTTGAAGTTCTTTGTGCAAGGCCTGTCATAGATCCAACACTTCCAAGGGAAATGGTAAACTTGGCAGAATGGGCAATGAAATGGCAGAAGAAAGGGCAGTTGGAGCAAATCATAGATCAAACACTTGCAGGCAAAATCAGGCCAGATTCTCTTAGGAAGTTTGGAGAAACTGCTGAGAAATGCTTGGCTGACTATGGTGTTGACAGACCTTCTATGGGAGATGTCTTGTGGAATTTGGAGTATGCTCTCCAACTTCAAGAGGCTATGGTTCAAGGTGATCCTGAAGAAAACAGCACAAATATGATTGGTGAACTCTCTCCACAGGTTAACAATTTCAGCCAGGATGCAATTGCTTCTACTGCGCAATTTGAAGGGACAAGTCTGGATGATCTCTCTGGTGTTTCTATGAGTAGGGTCTTCTCACAATTGGTGAAGTCTGAGGGTAGATAAATGGCTCTGGATATCCTATCTTATAAACTATATGTCACAGTACTCTTATGTTACGATTTTTGTTGTTTGTCTTCTGAATCACTAGTTCTCTGCCAGCATATGGAAGAGTAGGCATTTCATAGATTTGTAAAGAAAGATTGAGTTGAAACGTATTTGGTTAATTGGTAATCAGAGCATCTCCTTGTTAAATCTCTGGATTATCAAGTTTGACTTGGACTATGGTGAAAATCTAAAGTTATGCAACTATTCAGCTGTATCCTATCAGCCGCAGAAACACCTGAACCAACCAAGTGTGGTAAAGTCCTCTGATTTGTTTTTGTATCTTCTATATTTTTTGTGACCAGAGACGGAACTGTGGGACTGGACTTTAGCCAATTGCCAAGCATGCAGTTTCTCCTAAATAATACGGGATATGTATTTGCAGTTAATACTATTTGCATGGGTTTGTTATTTTCAGATATTTCCACCTTATTTCTTATGTATTAGCCATTAATATAACTTCTGTATTTCTTATGTATTTGTATTGAATTGCAAAAGATGCTGATTTCTTATAAAGAAAAAGAAATCAACATAAAGCATAATAGAGGTAATAGACTAATCAAGAAATTTCTTAAGATGCAAATGCCACAAATAATTGTCACAATGAGTATTATGTCCAGTTTTACCACGAGAAAACGCCATGATCAAAACCAAGTTATAATTTGAAACAATGGTGTTATCTAGCTCCATTTTGTTGGCATACTATTCTCAGAGCTGGTCCCCAACCCCATAATGAAAAATGCAATTGTCATCATTTTGTGGGATCATTAGTGGTAATAAGAAACTCCATGACTAGAAAGAAGAATGAATCCATTGAGAATGTTTAGACCCAATTTAGGTTCACCACTTCCAATTCCACTTACCTCTAACACCTTTTTCACCTACTACCATCTCCACTACCAACATATTACTACCACCAACTCATCATCATCAAAGAGGTTCTCATAATAAATTTATTAATATTTTATAATATTTATTTCAAAAATTACATTAACAATAATTATTTATCATCTGATATCATAAAAGATTTTAGATTTTCTGAGCAGAATATTAAACTCAATATTAAATGATCCATCACGTGCCTTGCCGGCTTTTACGACGGAAATTCCAAGGCCCACGACGTTAACATAATAACATAACACACCATGTGTCTCTTTTTTCAGGTCCATTTTGTAAACAACATCATGGTACTTTCATTTTCCACCAATGCAAACATTTCTTAGTTTCTATTTCTATACTTAGCCATGTTTGCTCCATAAAATGTTAGAATAGTTTATTCTTAATTTTATACGCACAAATATTTTTAATTCTAAATTAAGTTTCCTATCAGATTAATTCCTCTCACATAACACCTCATAGGCAGTGGGAAAGGGCGAATATACTTGTATGTTAGAAACACATTTACAGACACTTCAACTAATAATAATAGTAATACATACATACATACATACATACATACATACATACATACATACATACATACATACATACATAGACACGAAAACAAAAGCTTATATTACTTTTATTCAAGTTCTTACATTATTATATGTGGTAACAGCTGTAAATTAATCTGCCCCAGAAAGAAATTCACAAAACATTGCTGCAATTTTTATACAGCACTTCTTTATCTTTTCCTTCAGTTGTTTTTTTTTTTTAATCAGAAAAAAAAACACAGACAACAACATAGTATAAAGCAGTAGAACATAAAAATTATATATAAAAAAGGAAAAAAAAAACATCATAGATTGGATTAGAAATCATGAAGAACATCAACCTTAGCAGAGCAGGGTAGGAAGGTTTGGAAGATTGAGAACGCAGCATGAGTTACATCTTTGGCTCTCCCTAGAACCTTACACTTACCCTTCAAATTTAACTTGTTACTCACAAAAGCAACCTTTTCCTTTAGTTTATTCAAACACTTGATGGTCTTCTCAGTGACACCAACATTCTTCTTTGAGAATTTGTAGCTCCTCAAATACATTTGCCTACACCAGAAGCTATCAACTCCTCTTGGTGGCACATTAGAACCTACACGGTTGTTAGAATTCACACCCTTCACAAACTCTACATCAGATTCTGGCCATCTGTAGAGGTTTACATAGGTTGGTCTAAGAGGAAGACGTGTTTTGCTGACACTATCAGATATGCAAACAGAGGCCATAGGTTTTGGAAATGGTTCCACAGCATAGCATTATAGCATAATAGTGATACTAACCTGCGGCTTTTATGCAGTGATGAAATTCTCAGTTACCCTAGAAACAAGAACAACATGGTGCAATGTTCTGTATAAGATAAGTGCGAGGGGATGTGACAGAATCAGTTTTTTATTCATCCAACGAGATATGTTTCTCGTTTCAAATGATCTTTTGACATTGTGAATGGTCCTATATTCTTCTATACTAACACGTCAAGATGTTGTGTTTTTTTGTTCAAGGCTTCATAATCGCTTTTCTGATTTCGTAGAAACCTTTAATGCCCTCACTAAATCTTCACTATCAATTCGATTATTTACATATCAAATTATGCAATCATGAGACCAATTGTGATATTGCGAGGGGTAAATTTTTCCAAATTTTAATCAATTCAAAAACAACATATGAATTTAGTATGTTTTTCCCTTGCGACATTTCTACGTCATGCTTCCATGTTCCCCCTATGTAACAACTCTTGATAACTATTGAATGTACTTCTACTAGGGTTTCTTGTGTACTTAACATAACTATTCTCCACATAATAATTAAACTACATAAAAAAAAAATCACATTAAATTGGATCAATTTCTCCACATGAGTTTTTTCGCTTTACAAAATTAAGAATGTGCCACTTAATTATTTTGTGATACCAAATTAAATCAACTTAAATCTTTGTTTGGTTAAAAAAAAATGAAAGAAAAGATAAAAATAATTTGTGTTATTTGGTAAAAGAAGGACGGTAAAAGAATTAGTATATATTATTTCACATCTGTTTATATTTATATTTATCTTTCTATTTTTACTTTTATTTCATTTTTCTTCAATTTTTACTTGAATTGTTATAGAAAATTTAAGTAGTTAGTCAAATTTATTATTTGGACAAATAATTTTTACAGAAATTAAAATTTTAAGAAAATTATTAATGTATTATATTATTTGAAATTGTAAAAACTTCAGATTATAAAAATTACGAAAGCTAAAAGAAAATCAAACTTTCTTCTATTGTCTGTCTTCTATCTCATTAAAATATTTAAAATTTGTTTGTATCTAACGTTGAAATTTTAGTTTTAGTATAGTAACATTTAAACCATCCAATCCAAACTAAGAATTAAATTTCAAATATAAGAACATTCAATCAATTTATCCAAACAAAACATTTACGTTTAAATAAAAGCTAATTAAATTTGTGAAATTTCAAATTCCTTAAAATTGTAAAGTTTCTAATTTCAAATTTTTAAGTCCATTTTTATTCATTAATTTAACTTTTATATATTTTATTTCCTTCTTAATCTAAGAGAACATAAAAGAAACAAAAAAAAGCATAACTCAAAATAGGCACATATAATCCTCCATGAGATCCAATTTCTTTCAATCCAAAAAATAGAGTAGAATTCAAACAGGCTCATAAATACAACATCAGATCCAATTAATTTCAATCCATATTTTCTTTTTTCGTCTTCTATTCATTCTAACATGAATGAAAAAACACATCATTAACTAAGCAGAAGATAGCGTGACGATGGAAAGAACTAAAAACTCCGCCAAATAAAATGACATCACACATAAACATTGTTTTATTTAGAAGGCAACTTAATCATGAAACGAAAAAGAAAAGACAAAATTGATATCTGAAATTATCAAACACATTGGTATTTGTTCATCAATATGGTATTTCAAAGAGCAACTTTAGATATACATCAAAGAAAGTTTTAAGCACAAAGGAACACCATGGTAAGAGCAATGAGTTCAAATGGATGATGCAATGAATTAGGAACTGAAATCAGAGACATAATTGATTTCATCAAAGTAGTTACATTACATCAAATAATCCACAAAAACAAGTGAACTACCTATATCACACAAAACATACATCTGAAAATCAAACCTAGTCTTTTCGTCTCCCCTGCAGAGGACCCAAAAACACTAATTTCAATCCCTGCCATTTTTTGTTTGTTTTCTTGACAGCAAGACTTTTCCCCATCGAGGAAAATCAAGCGACCATGCAGAACCAAAACCCTAACCCCCAAATCCGTAGAGTGTTCTTCCCTGCCTCTTTAGGGCATAGACAACATCCATAGCCGTAACGGTCTTCCTCCTTGCATGCTCCGTGTAGGTAACCGCGTCACGAATCACGTTCTCCAAGAAGATCTTGAGAACTCCACGAGTCTCCTCATAAATCAATCCACTGATACGCTTCACACCACCCCTGCGAGCCAATCGCCGAATAGCTGGCTTCGTTATTCCTTGAATGTTATCACGAAGCACCTTACGATGTCGTTTCGCTCCTCCCTTTCCCAATCCCTTGCCACCCTTTCCACGACCAGACATCTTGTGGAGTAAAACCTCAACTAAATCGAGTCAAAATCTACGCAGAAACATCATAGATTTAGTTCCAGAAAATAATCAAGCAAATAAAGAAAGAAACAAAAAAAATCAAGTTTTATGATTTACCTTGTGGAAGAGATAGCGATAATTATGCGAGCTGTGCTAATATGTGGAATTAGACGTGGATGCGTTTTATAAGGAGTATGTGACACTGTGTTGATCCGTGTGCTAGATTTTTAGATGCGTTTTAAACCGTTGATTTGGTTTTTATGTTCCACTCAGAAGTAATAAGACATTTCACGAGGATAGCTGACGTGTCTTGGTTCGCTTTTAATGAAAAAAATTACTAGAGTTGGCGGGTTTATTTCCGCGTGTTTAATATTTGTGGGAGGATGGTGCCGCCAAACAAAAAATTGTTTTAACTATAAATTTAAATTAGGGTTTATATGTATTTTTTTCTTTTTTAACGTTTGTAACTGTTATGAACCAATAACATTGTTGATGTAAGTTAGTTTTTGATAATGAGAAAATAATTTATTGTTTTCACTGTATAATATTTTCTTGTATATATTATGTGAGTATTTGCAGTAATGACAGCGTGTAATGTGTCGTGTTCCAATATATTTCTATTAAGAGTTGTGGTTGTGGGAATATAAAGATGTGAGAAAGGCTTGAAGCAAGTGAATATTTTTCATGGCTATTATCGGGATACGGAAAATTTGCCTGTATTTGATAGAAAGGATTGTGATCACTAATATGTTAAGATGAACGTTATGCATGATATTAAGAAGTTGATGAGGTTGTTAAGATTTTTTTATTATTATTAAAGGGGGTTTAAAAATTTTGCATTTTATTGAATGGGGTTAAATATTTTAAATTTTAAAAAAAATTAAATCGTACTTTCAAACATAATTTTTATTTTTTAAAATAAATGTGTTATGAAGCACAAATTTGTTTATTTTTTGAAAAAAGATGTTTTTTTTTTAAATATATTATTTAATATATAATTATTTTTAATTAAATTATTAATTTAATAAAAATAAAAATATTTATGATTAAATTTAATTCACTATATTTATATTAAAATATTATATGCATATATATTATTAAAAAAAATATTAATGGTGAGACCATGTCCCACAAGTGGTCTTCTTATTTATCATGTTGGTCTACTTGGTTAGTTTTGAATAGATCTTTGTTGTGCTTGTGTAACACACGTACGATCCTATGATGATTGAGGTTAAATGTTTGTTTGTCTATCATCATCATCCTCTTCATTTGCATACTGCATAAGGAACATACTTGGGCATAGGGTACATACTTGGACATAGTAGTCATGAAAGGTGTTTGATTGTATGATGACAAGTGGTGTCATGGAAGAAGTGAAAGTTTTAGATGAAAATGAAGTAAATGTACAAGGAACTTATCCTCAAAATTGAAATTGTGCATGTAAATTTTGGAGTTGACCAACATATCCAAAATATGTTGATGACTCGACTGACCAACATGTTGATGACTCAATTGACTAACATGGACATTATTAGGTTCGCCAATATGTTGGGGGTTATTCCTACTGCTCTGTATCGTACTATTAAAAAATAAAATCAATATTAGTTTGATATGAATGTTATTTATATAAAATAAAATTATTGATATACTTACTTCTTCATCTGAATCTTCTTCTTGGGTAGAAGAAATATATTTGATAGTATGTTGAAAATACCATATCATATATGTTGTATTTTCATGCAAAAGGTCATTCCCACTGAACTTGTTTCCTTGAATTAGTCGATTGTGACAGTCATTCCACATAGTAATCTAAGTTTTACGGTATTGAGTCCAAAATATATCAATTATACCTCTCATGTCTTCTCTGTGAAGTTTGTCAAGATTGATCGGATTTTCTTGAATTGGTTAGCAAAATCCAAATTACCTCACACTAGTGCAAAAAAGGGTTTCTACGTCACCCAATTGTCGTCGCATGTAAAAATATTCGACGTAAATAAAACGCGGTGACAATTTTGTAAATAAGAGACAAAACTTTTACGTCGCGTGCTGGGGTGCGCGATGTAAAAAGTCCCTTTTATTTCCTCCCAGTCCCACTCCCTCGTCCCGCGCAACCAGGGTTTTTGAGAACGACAACAACAGTTACCTCTACACACCATTTTCGATCAGTTTGACAGTGAAAAACATCAATATTGTGTGTCATTTTACAAACTTCATATTTCTCCCCGATTGGATTCGAGTTTGAAATCATTTTTCGTCTACACTCAAGGTTAGTGTTCTATGCTATTGCTATATGTTTAAATTGAATCCGTGATTGTTTTTGGGGATCTCAATCACGTTATAGTATGAATGTCTCCACTGGATTGTTATTGGAATGTAATTATTTGTTTATTTGTTTGAGTGCATTCGGTTTACACACTCCATTGTTGTTGGAACGTGCTTTGTTGTTTGTATATTAATTTCTTTTTACATTTAATTTTTAAATCTCTAGGAGTGACGGAACTTTATAACATAATATGAATCGAAGTTGGATGAATGCACGTCGTATTAATGAAGAGTACGAAAAGGGAGTTGAGAATTTTTTGAAATTGGCTAGTGAAAATGGAAAAGCTATGAAAGGGACATATTATTGTCCATGTGTTCGTTGTTTGAATCAAATTCGTCATAAACTTGAGGATATACGTGATCACTTGTTTGTTTATGGTATTATTAAGAGTTATACAATATGGACATGGCATGGAGAAATATTAGACATCCCAACTGTGTCAACTACAGACAATTTTGATGAAGGGATGGATGATAATCTAGAGGATATGATACGTGATATTGGTGAAGAAAATTTTATGAAAGCACATCTATATGATTCTTTGAAATCTGATTTTGCGCAACAATTGTACATAGGATGTAGTTTTACAAGATTATCAGCAACTTTAAAATTGTTTACTTTAAAAGCAAGAAATGGATGGACTGATAAAAGTTTCACCGAATTATTGGAGTTGTTGAAGGAGAGATGCTTCCTGAAGATAATACATTACCTATTCGTAACTATGAGGCAAAGAAAATATTATGTCCAATGAGTTTAGAGTACAAGAAGATACATGCATGTCTTAATGATTGTATATTGTACAGAAACGATTTTGCTAAATTAAAGATGTGCCCGACATGTGATTTGTCGAGGTACAAAAACAAAGTTGAGGAAAGTAGTGGTGAGGAAGAACTAGATGGTCCCCCTGCTAAGGTGTTATGGTATTTGCCAATTATACCTAGGTTTAAAAGATTATTTTCCATAAAAGAAGATGCAAGAAACTTGACATGACATGCAAATGGTAGAAAATGTGATAATCTTCTTCGACATCCAGCTGATTCTCCACAATGGAAAAGGATTGATGAAACCTTTCCAGAATTTGGTGCAGAGCCAAGGAACTTGAGAATTGGATTAGCTACAGATGTGATGAATCCTTATGGAAATTTAAGTAGTAAACATAGTTCATGGCCAATTTTGTTGATCATTTACAATTTGCCTCCTTGGTTATGCATGAAGAGAAAATATATGATGTTATCTATGATGATTTCAGGACCTCGACAACCAGGAAATGACATAGATGTATATCTTAGTCCTTTAATTGATGATTTGAAGATGTTGTGGGAAACAGGAGTGCATGTATTTGATTCATATCACGAAGTGAATTTCAGGTTGCGTGCAATGTTATTTTGTACTATAAATGATTTTTCAACATATGGTAATTTGAGCGGTTATAGTGTGAAAGGTCATTTAGCGTGTCCTTTATGTCAAGAAGACACAAGTTATATCCAATTGAAACATGGACAAAAAACTGCGTACAATAGACATAAAAAGTTTCTAGTTGCTAATCATCTATATCGTAAAATGAAAAAAGCATTTAATGGATGTCAGGAGAATGCGGTTGCATCAGTACCACGCAATGGTGAACAAGTATATGAGCAGGTGAAAAATATTAATATTGTGTTTGGAAAGACCCAAAAGAAATCCAATGAGAAAAACATTTGGAAGAAACAATCTATATTCTTCAATCTTCCTTATAGGTGTAAGTTGGAAGTTAGACAATGTATAGATGTGATGCATGTTAAAAAAAATGTTTGTGATAGTATAATTGGGACATTGCTTAACATAAAAGGAAAGACAAAAGATGGAATAAAAGCAAGACAAGATTTGGCAGACATGGGTATACGTTCTGAATTACATTCACAATCAGTTGGAAAACGCACTTACTTACCTCCAGCTTGTCATACTATATCAAAGAAAGAAAAGAGAAGCTTTTGTGAGTGTTTAGGTGAGGTCAAAGTGCCACAAGGATACTCCTCAAATGTTAAGAGTCTTGTGTCTATGCAAGAGTTGAAATTAGTTGGTTTAATGTCTCATGATTGTCATGTGTTGATGCAACAACTTTTACCAGTGGTTATTCGAAACATCTTACCAACTTCTGTTAGAATTGTTATTACTCGGTTATGTTTGTTTTTGAACGCCATTTGTAAAAAGGTAATTGATCCAAAAAAGTTAGATGAATTAGAAAATGAAGCAATTGTAATAGTGTGCCAGTTAGAAATGTATTTTCCCCCTTCATTTTTTGATATCATGGTGCATTTGATAGTCCATTTGGTAAGGGAAATTCGGTTATGTGGTCCAATTTTTCTTAGATGGATGTATCCTGTTGAGAGATACATGAAGATCTTAAAAGGATATGTGAAGAATCAGTACAGGCCATAAACTTCTATTGTGGAAAGGTACATTGCAAAAGAAGCCATTGAGTTTTGTTTAGGATACATGTCAAAATCAGAACCAATAGGTATTCCTAAGATGAGACATGATGGAAGATGTGAAGGTAAGGGTACTCGAAATTTAAAGATTAAAAATGTTAGTCGGAAAGAAGTTGACCAAGCACATATATACATATTGAACAACACTGATGAAGTAATCCCTTACATATCACAACACATAACTGAAATAAAGGCAACACATC